GTCTCAATCTCAGTGGTTCACACACTTAGAGGTTTCTTCATGAGCAGCTGCACATCCTTGAGGAGAATGACAAGCAACTGTTGATGCCATCTGTTCAAAAGGAGTCCGAGTGGTGCAAAAGTTCTTCAGTTGTTCTCACAGCCGTAGATTTCTCTTTGATGATGTGGGTTTTTTTTTTGTGCAAATGTTATATAACCAGCACGAGGCTTCGTAGTACTTTTCTGGCATGATGTAGCCACTGACAGCCCAGTTCCATGCATCGCTTGCTCAGATTACCCAGTGGGTATCCGTTCCTGCAGTGAAAGCTGAAGGAATGAACAAATTGGCTTTAGGGCAGGCAGATGGAGTGTGGAGGTCGTTTGTAGATCATATAAAACAGCGTTTGACTGCATGAAATATAAATATGCGGGTTTTTGATCATTTCTCCACAGAGAGGGTATGAATCAGACATCAGAAAGATTTAAAGCAGCAGTTAAATGGATTCTGGGGAATTCAGTGCAATGTTGAGTCAACTTTGATTTATGTAAGAGTAGATATGATCCACTTTAGTAGAAATGGAAGAAAAACAAGCTTTTAAAATGTATGATGAGAATAAATGTCCTTACAACTGAATAATCTGAATAATACCTAATAAAATATCCTAACAAAGAGCTGGATTGCTAACAGCTACCTGAGAGCTAAAGGTCCAGCAGCTCTTGACTGTACTTCTTAGCTTCTGCTCTGTAGGCTGTGACTGTTTTGAATGAGTCTGTTGGTCTCTCGGTAATCGGGACAACCGCTGTGAGAACAACATTTGCCCCCTGCTTGATTGGCCTGATTAGTCTTTTTAATTTCACAGCTGGCTGAATCTTTGCTACGTTTTCTGGATGCCACCATTGTCTTGGCTCAGAAAAAGGACAACTAATCAAAATACTTATAGAAAACGTAAAACTATAAATGTTGCTGCATCGTCAGTCACAAAATCTGATACAATGAATTTTTTTTAACGTGCATCAAACGATCAGATGGGCTCATTACATGTTTGGCTTGTTCAAACTGAGTTGGAATAACAAGTTCTTACTTTAAATGTTTGGTTTTGCTTAATTTAGTGCAGACTTTTGGAAACTTGGACAATTCAATATTTTCCATCAAAGCTAATTCTTCTCCAATGACCACACTCGTTTGAACTTACACAAATTGATCTAAACAGGAATTTTTTGCGACACGAATGTTGAGGTGATGATCATAATAGGATTTGTCTCAGTCCGGGTCCTGGACTTCCAACATTTTCTAAGTGAGGGCCCAGAGACCCTGCGGAGAAAACTCATTTCGGCCGCTTGTTTCCACAATTTCATTCTTTCAGTCACTACCCAAAGTTCGTGACCGTAGGAATGTAGATCGACCGTTAAATTGAGAGCTTGTCCTTCCAGCTCAGCTCTCTCTTCACCATGACAGACCGGTACAACACCTGCATCATTGCAGACAAAGCACCAATCCACCTGTCGATCTCACGCTCCATCTTTCCCTCACTGGTGAACAAGACCCAGAGATACTTAAACTCCTCCACTTGAGGCAGGACCTCATCCCTGACCAGGAGAAGGCATTCTACCCTTTTCTGGCTCCAGATCATGGTCCTGGATTTAGAGGAGCTGATTCCCATCCTGCCACTTCACCCTCGGCTGCGAACCGCTCTTGATCACATCCTGATCAAACCGCAGGATCACATCATCTGCAAAAAGCTGAGACCCGATCCTCAGACCACCGAAACAGGTCCCACCAACACCTTGACTGCACCTAGAAATCCTGTCCATAAAAGTTATGAACAGAATTGGTGACAAAGGGCAGCCTTGGCGGGGTCCAGCGACCTAACAGCCCATACATTTTGGGGCAGCAGTAGCTCAGGTGGTAGAGCGGGTTGCTCTCATGACCGGAGGGACATGGGTCCGATTCCAGCTCCTGCCAATTCTGCTGTTGTCTCCTTTGGCAAGACACTTCACCCGACTTGCCTGTGTTGGTAGTGGTCAGAGGGGCCGATGGTGCAAAATGGCAACCTCGCTTCTGTCAGACCGCCCCAGGGCGGCTGTGGCTGCACTAGCTTACTATCACTGGCAGTGAGAATGCATGATTAATGGAAAGTGCTTTGGGTGTCTTGAAAAGCACCATATAAATCCAAACCATTATAATAATAACAATAATAATAATAATAATAATAATAATAATAATAAATATTATTATTATTTCAAGGGACCTGGTATAGATGCATTGTTTTCTTGAGCCAAAACGTTATTGGTGTCAAGCACTGAACTCAATGTGGTGGTCATAAATTATGCAAAATGCCAATTAGCAAAGAGATAAAGCTTTTCAGAGATGCACAATAACAACGTTTGTGATTAATTAGAATAACTTAAGATTTTTATGAAATATAAGATGAATCTAAAGTAGGGTGTGATGAATCTCTGACGTGAAACGAGATGATGACCCACATTCTCAGATGGCATCAGATGCTGTGTCATGATATCTCACACATTGTTTTGTCTGGGCTCCTCCCCCCATCATGACTAACCTGAATCCACACCTTCAAGACTGACAGACATGTGTCCATCCGTCCCCAGTGATTCGGACCCCCTCCCTTTTTCTCCATGAGGGCTCCTTGTTGACACCGTGCCCCAACTAAATGAGTCACAGTCTCTACCCTGTCTTTGCCTCTGCTCCCGTGTCTGGTCCCTTCACCTTGGATGCTGCTCCAGGACAAGAAGAAGAACTACAAAGCGGTGCAGTCCTGTGAGGAGGGGGGATCTGGGGGGGCCTATCTTGAGCCACTTGTAGCCCTGGCCCAGAATGGAGCCAACATGCACAATGTACTTGGGCCTGCATGCATCTTCCTACGCAAGGGCTTCGCTGAGAGCAGGCAGGCTGTACGTAAGTTCAGAATGTTCAATGTGCATGCCAAAAAAAGAATGCACAGATGGGTTCAGTGATGCACGGTAACAAAACGTGGAGTTGTGTTAAGATGATGTTGAGGGCTTGAAGTCTTGGTGGATAGTTTTTAAATCAGTCAAAACAGAACAAAATGGTGAATTTTGTGTTTAAATCGAGACAGTGGTCTAGCATTTCCTCCTCGCTTACTTTAAGCCCTGTTACCCAGAAAAAGTGACTGGATTCCCATCTGGTAGGAGATTTCTTACTGCATCTCCCATTTCTTCTCCTAATTCACGTTGTTTCAGATGCCAGATTTTGAAAGGCTGCTAGGAGACAGCATCTTTTCACTGCTGTGCAAAGTCTTGAACGAGCTCTTCCGGTCGAGTTGGAAGCTGACCAGAAAACTGTTGGCTCATGTCTCAAACTGGCTGTTTTCATCATTTTTCACAGCGCTGTGCTTCGTGAGGAACGATGAGTTTTATCATGTCAGCAATGTTCTCATCCTAACCTTGCATTTTGCTTCCCTCACAGGACCGAGAGCTGAGGCCAGAAGAAATGGATGGTAGGTTGGGTTATAATTAGCAAAATGAAGACTAATTAAATGTTAGAGTCTTACATACATGTGTGTTGCTCTCAGAGCTTCGTGAAGCATTTAAAGAGTTTGACAAAGACAAAGATGGATTCATCGGCTGTAAAGATCTGGGGAACTGCATGAGGACGATGGGCTACATGCCAACAGAGATGGAGCTAATAGAGCTGAGCCAGCAGATCAACATGAATTGTAACTAAAACAGATTCTTTTAGAAATGTTTGCCCCTGTTTCTTCTTCATTTTGTCATTCAGTCTGCAAATAGTCTGCAACGTACAACCACTTCCCATCAGACTTTATGTTTCATCATGCATATGAAAATTAAGTCATCTGGAGTTTAAATGATGCGTTGAGGTTAAGCACTCTTATGAATCTTTCTAACAGTGGGAGGTCATGTTGACTTTGAGGACTTTGTTGAACTTATGGGGCCCAAACTTCTGGCGGAAACAGCGGACATGATCGGAGTCAAAGAACTGAGGGATGCTTTCAAGGAGGTTAGGAGCACACATTAGTCTCTTTTGATTATGGTACAGTGGAATTATTAGTCTAAACAGAGTGTGCAGACAAAGAAGTCATCTGGTTTGATGATCTATTTCAGTTTGACACCAATGGTGACGGCCAGATCAGCACAGCCGAACTCAGAGAAGCGATGAAAAAGCTTCTAGGCCAGCAGGTAAAAGAAGCTGCTTGAAGAGTTTTCCTCCCTCCCTGCTGAGCTCCATCCATCACTGTCTGTCTGATTTCTGTCTCTTTGTTCTAGAAGTAAATTTAGTCTGAATTAGTGCCACAGAAGTTCACACACCTTGACTTTTCTAGGTTGGACACAGAGATCTGGAAGAAATCCTACGAGACATCGACCTCAACGGAGACGGACACGTTGACTTTGAAGGTATTGTAGCGTGTGTGTGTGTGTGTGTGTGTGTGTGTGTGTGTGTGTGTGTGTGTGTGTGTGTGTGTGTGTGTGTGTGCATGCATAGTTTTCACACACACTCACACACATCTATTTAGATCCCACTACATGTTTGCCTCATATCCTGTACAATGTTGATACCGAGGCAAAGGATGAACAAATGTCTGTCAGATTATCTTCCCGCTGAGGGATTATGTCACCTCAGAGATTACCCGTGGTGAGAAAGATGCATGCACACTGCAAGGGATGAAAATATTACAACGAACACCTTTTTATCAGTTGATCCGTGATATTCCCAACTACAGTAAGTTCAGTTCATCAATAAATAACTGTAAACTGAACATCAGAGGAAGCATCAGACTAAAGATATTTTTGTTGCACAAGAGTGACACAGACTATCAAAGAAGGTGTTGAACCTAACAGTTAGAACCTTAAATGTGTGATATTTATGTATCCCACATTAACTAAACTTTCTATTGAACTTTCTTTTCATCAAATGCTGCAGGGTGTTAAGACCAAAAGTGCCTTGGACTTTGAAAACTCTACATTCATATGCTGTCAGATTTATTAAGAATAAAACATTTTCCCTTGAAACTTGTTTTAGTTTAGAAACCGTTTTCCAGACTTGCTTCATAGATTAATTCATCATTAATTCCTTCAGCTCATCTTGTGGTAATTTATCGCAAACTGAATGTAAACAATCTATTATTTTCTTCAATTCACAGAGTTTGTGAGAATGATGTCCCGATGAGTTCCTGCTGAGTGGTCTTCTCTGAAGTTGGGGGGGGGGGGGGGGGGAGACCCTGGCTGAGAAAACTGATGTATCGTGAACTTTTTTGAACTATGAATGAATAAGAGGGAGAAAACATATCAACCTTGGCCTGAAACTGCCTCGCTGAAGCACAACGGCTGACGACAGCCAGAAGCAACACTGTTAAAAACAATCTGCTGCTGTTCCTTCAAGCATAATCAAAACCGACGGCTGCACTCGTGACTTTTGCAAAGTGCGTTTTAGGGTCATCTATTTCTTTAATATTTCTGTTTTTTGATCTTATGGTTAACAAGTGACGTGATGTTTGAGCTGTGTAGCTCAACCCATTATTGTTAAGGACTGTAGCAAATAGATTATACATTAAAAAGAACAAGGGTGACACAAGGTTATAAAAAGCACAAAAAGAAGCAATACTGAACCGAATGGTCATATCATATATGTGTGTATGTGTGTGTACGTGCGTGTGTACGTGTGTGTGTGTGTGTGTGTGTGTGTGTGTGTGTGTGTGTGTGTGTGTGTGTGTGTGTGTGTGTGTGTGTGTGTGTGTGTGTGTGTGTGTGTGTTGTTGTTGCTGTTGACATGTCCTGGGTGTCTTGTTTGGTAATTTGTGTCTAATGTAGCACTGACTCTGTTCCTCCATCTTTAATACCACCATGCCTCCTTTTCTGTGACAATCTGTAATTTTTAGTGTGCAAACTTCAGCTGCACATGATGTGGAAAGAAGCTATATGAACTTTGCTACTGTGATATGTCTTTCTATGACTTGTATGTTTTACTCATTTTGATTATTTTCCTGCATGGTTACTGGGATTACATAAAATGTGTTTTAAGTTGTTACAGATGTATTTACTAGTGTCATGATACATTGTACTAAGAAAATATTTTTAATAGCTTAAGTATTAGATTTATCTTTGGGTTCCTGTGGGTTTACTGATTCACCCTCTCAGGCTCAAAATAAGTTTTGATAAAAGGACGAATAACTAAGTCCTTCAGGAGTACTTCTGAGTTAAAAAATGCTCATGAAATATGTATGTGGAGTAACCAGGTAGGTAGGTTTTAACTGTTGTAAATCTGCTACCCCTGCCTCCAGAGGGTTAAAAGACTAATGTGAATTTAAAGAGCAAGTCACCCCCAAATCAACTTTTTTTTCTGGTAATCTATATAAATGCATGTCTAATTGTGCTGCAGACAGTCAATAGTTTAGCACTTTTGTGCATTTTAGTTAAAAATTTAAATTTTCTGCCTGAAACTGTCAGTGTTGTGCCATTGTCAGGTAAAAACTCTTCACCGCATTTGAATTTAAATCTGCCACCTCTATTGGCTAAGAGGTATGCTATGATGTAAACTGGTACATTATGATGTCACAATGTCGTGAGTGTGTGTATTTGTTAGTGGCTCCACCCTCTCGGTCTGCTAGGCAACAGCATTTGTTGCATTTTTCAAACATGAAGTGGGACTGAAGTACACTTCTTGTAAGGGGTGACTTGCTCTTTAAGAATGATTCTTGCAGTAATTCCAGCTTCAATACCTCCAAATGAATTGAATAATTTCATCAAATAACCTCTTTGAACACACTCAGATCTCTAATCTCACACCCATCAATGTGTGTAAAGAAGTAAAATAAACTTCTCTATTAAAAAGCCAAAGAAATTTTACAAAATATCCTGTTGGTCTGATTCAGACTGATATGCGTCACTGGGACTAGGGATGCACCGATACCTACTGGTTAACCGATACCAATGCAATTGCCTGAAAGTAGATTCACTGTAACTGTAAACAGTTTCTGTTCACCTGATATTTTAGTTTTGTGAAATGGTAAATAAATGGTAAATGGCCTGTATTTGATATAGTGCCTTCTAGAGTCCTGGAACCCCCCAAGGTGCTTTACAACACAATCAGTCATTCACCCATTCACACACACATTCACACACTGGTGGGGATGAGCTACGATGTAGCCACAGCTGCCCTGGGGCGCGCTGACAGAGGCGAGGCTGCCGAGCACTGGCGCCACCGGTCCCTCCGACCACCACCAGCAGGCAACGTGGGTTAAGTGTCTTGCCCAAGGACACAACGACAGCGACAGACTGAGCGGGACTCGAACCTGCAACCTTCCGATTATGGGGCGAGCACTTAACTCCTGTGCCACCGTCACCCTGTGATAATTTCTATTAATATATTTTATTTTTCATCTACCTCACAGTCTTTTCCTGTTGAAAGCAGAGAAGAAAATAAAAAGTGTGTTCCAATTAATTGCATTTATTGTGTGGTAGAAGTATCAGTATTGGTAATCGGCATTGGCGAGTACTCAGATCCAAGCATCGGTATCGTATCGGTTTGGAAAAAAGTGGTATCGTTGCATCCCTAATTGGGAAGGCTAGACTGTTGAAGAACGAGACAACAGTGAGCGTGCACGCTGGGAGGAACGGATATTCTTCTCAAAGGGAACTCTTACTTTGTAATTTTACACGTCTTAACTCTGTGGAACTATGCATGCCAGAAACTACTGCAATTTGTAGCTGAATATTTGAAATAAAAGTATTTATTTCAACTTAAACACAATGTTTGCGTTTGTGTTAATGATCAAGTCCAGATACTTACATTATGAGATGGCCCTGCCAAATAAAGAACCCAATAAAGATTCAATTGAAGTCATAAAATGATATTCAGAACCACTATTCTGACTTCCAGGTTCAAACTTAATGTTTAAGTTATGTAAAAGATGAACTGGCAAAAAGCTGCATGGTGGAGCAGTCTGTTGAAGTGTTGGTCGCAGGTTTGAATCCTGGCTGTGGCCTTTCTGTGCATGTGCTCCTCATGCATGCATAGCTTTAATCAGACTAAACAAGTGGATCCGCTGTTCACAGATCAGTAACAGCAACCTTCAGTGCCCATTGTTGCCGTGGTGATGCCAGCAGCAGGTGGGATTAGCAGAGATCCTGTCGCCTTACAGGAATGTCCAGATGGACAGCTTAGCTTTACGTCTAAACGAGGACAAGAGCTGCTTGTGGAGGTTAGTCGGCAACTTTTTCACCATTACCTTTATGACAGCTCCTTACATGTAGGTAGTAAAACCCACACTTCAACTTCTGATCGTAAGCTTTGAAAATTCTGTGTATTTGTAATATTGAGCCATCTGTGCATTTCTTTTAACCCTCTCAGGCTCAAAATAAGTTTTGATAAAAGGACGAACAACTAAGTCCTTCAGGGGTACTTCTGAGTTTAAAAATACTCATGAAATACGTATGTGGAGTAACCAGGTAGGTAACTGTTGCAAATCTGCAACGCCTGCCTCCAGGGGGCTAAATAACAAGACGTTTAAGGATTTTAGTCGTTAATGTATACAGGCAGTATTATTCTGCTATAAATAGATTTCACCAATCTGAAAACTTTTTATGATTTACGAACATTCCAGTGTTAGAGATCAATATTAAACAAACCTACCCCTAACAGAAAGCTGATAGGAAGGCAGACACTGTGTGTGTGTGCGTGCGTGCGTGTGTGTGTGTGTGTGTGTGTGTGTGTGTGTGTGTGCATTCCTACATAGTTTGAGTTCCTTTAGAACTTTGTTGTAGCTTTGAGAACAAGCAGCTGGGAACATCCCACAAGAGCCGCAGTAGTAATCACGCAGCTGTGTGCTTGTAATCAGTTATATTCTTTCTGCCTCCACCCCATCACCTTCAGGGACATAATCCTGTATTTCTTTCTTTTCTGTCCATCCCATTGCATGTATGTGAAGGCCTTTATGCAGATCTGGGGGTTCCTGCCTAGACGGGAGAGCTCATGGCCACGTTTACGTTGCCTGCTGACAGCCTGATCTGCAGGTGCCTTGGTGTCTCCATCACTGCATGGTTGACTTTTCTGTTTGGCTTTGCTCCACTCCTGGCTGTACTTGGAGTCTCCGTTGGCATCAGTAGCTTCTACACGAGGACACTTCTTCATGTATTTGAGGTTAACTGGATTTTTATTATAAAGCCCAGTTCACATGGAAGATAATCTTGTTGATTTTTAACCCAGTCTTACCCTCCCAACAGTCTTAAAGATGCACACGATTGCTGTAACGGCTCTAAAGATAATTTACCAGATAATCCTACCTTGAATGGTGTGTTAAGAGCGATGTGGTCTGCTTGAAAAAATGTTGAAACCACTCTGATTAGAAATCTGGGATTGTTGGATTGTCTTGGGATGGCTTGCGGTATTTATTGAGCTAGAGCATCAATGTTGCACAATAAAGAGTCAGAGTTGCATTGCTATTATCCAGTCAGAGGTAAAATGTCTAAATATCACGAAGTAATACTCCAAAACTTGCCATCTGCTGCTCACCTCTCACCTGACTCAATTCTAGTTCCTGAAACAGGAGCGCCAGAGCTTTTCCCCACAGAGATCGACTCACCAGGCATTCATATATACTAGAGAGCACTGCAAATGTAGAAATATTGGACCCAACATACAAGCTAGAGTGGTGTTCAAGGAGTAGTTTTCGTAGTATTTTGGACTAAAAATACATACATTTAAAAATAAATGAAGTAATGAAATAAAAACAAATAAAGCCTAACAACACATATACCAAATGTGAAATTGTGTAATTTTTACCGTTAATCTCTGGAAATATCCATCAAAATATTGAAAATAAATTAAATGATGCACAGTTTTTAAAAAGGGCAGCTTCGTAATATATAACTTTAGAACTCGGGTCTAAAATACACGGGAGCGGGTCTAAGTATTTGGGCTTCTACTGGAGCCCGTGAGGACAAAATGCATTTAGAGATTTGAAACAAGCGGTTACAAAACATTGGCCATTCATACACATTGTTATTTTACACATTTACCTCTTTGCTTGTTGCCAGTTCTGAAAGGGAGTCTGATGTGCTGGTCATTTGGCTGGAAATTGAACAAGGAAGTACTCGTGCAAAGATTGCGCTCCCAGGGATTTTTGACCCTAAAGGCCATCTGTTGGTAAAGTCTTATTTGAACACAAAAATATTGCTTGCTTGCAATCATGTAGGTATGTGCTGCCCCCTATTGCTAGGGAAAAACACAAAGTCACTTTAAAACAGTTGTAGTTTTTGCAACCAGATATTAACATGCTTAAACACAAAACTGCAATCCTCGCCAGCGTTGTCTGCCAGTAGTGCAAGAACCAAACTCTCCCGTTCAACCCACAATGAATCCTGGGATGGCCTTTGCCAATGAGGTTATGCCAGACCCGTCCTCGATATATGGAAGAAACGCAAATGCATTTAAGGACGCATTTTGAATATCCTTCAAATGTAGACAGACTCGTTGCTTTGCTGTGATGTATTTGGCCTTAAAATGTGTTCTTGGAAGGATGCAGCTGCTGGATTTGGACCCACCTTTGGTTGGATTTTCTGGGACAAACCAATGTGCTTTTTGCTGAGTGTGACACGTAGCCAATCAGATGGAGGCTTGACAGAAACGTGCAGCTCACTCCTTGTTTACCATGTCTGTTTAGTTCAAAGTCACATTTCATCTTGTGAGATTTCTCTTCTAAGCGTGGAATGCCCATGAGTGAATTTGGTTCATGTAACTGTGTAGTGTGTCAGCGCGTGGCGGTGAGTGAAGCAGATGCAAGGATCCACGTGCGGGTGAGGGAAGCAGGCAGGAAGACAAACCAGCACGAGTAAAAGTATTTAATGATCACACGCTGGACAATGAAACAATGATCCACAAAGAGACACAGAACTGAAGGGGTTTAAATACAAGAGGGCTGGGAGCTTGGGTGATTGGAAAACTAGAGGCAGGCAGGAGCAATTAAAAGAGACGCAGGCTGAACCAAATGGGGAGACAGGACAGGGTGTGACAGTACCCTCCCCTCAAAGGGCGGATTCCAGACGCCCATAGGAACATAGAGCAGGGTGGGAGGAGGGGGATCCAGAGGGAGGGCCAAGAGGGACCGAGGGGCCGATTGAGAGGAGGCAGGGATCAGTAGAGTCCGGGGGCCTGCGTCTGCGGCAGAGGAGGAGGCGATGACGACGGGCTCTTGGGGGTCTGGCGAGGGTGGGACCGGCGGTGACCGGAGGCAGAGATGCTGGAGGAGATGTCCTTGACTCTTGGACTGGAGGCGGCGGCGTCGACCACGGGACTGGGGAGCGTCAACCACGGGACTGGGAGGGAGTGTCGACCACGGGACTGGGGAGCGTCAACCACGGGACTGGGAGGGAGTGTCGACCACGGGACTGGAAGGGAGCGTCAACCACGGGACTGGGAGGGAGTGTCGACCACGGGACTGGAAGGGAGCGTCGACCACAGGACAGTCGACCACAGGACAGGAAGAGGCGTCGACCTCCGTCGACTTCTGGTCCAGGGGTGTCGACTTCTGGTCCGGGGGTGTCGACTACTGGTCCGGGGGCGTCGACTTCTGGACCTCCGACTTCTGGACCTCCGACTTCTGGACTGGAACCGTCGACTTCTGGAGTGGAGGCGGAGCCGCTGCAGGAGGAGCTGCCGACTTCTGGACTGGCCGGCCCGGGGGAAGAGCCTCTTGGGTCACCGCCGGGACCGGAGCAGACCGAACTGGAGATGCCGGAAACTGGGAGAGCAGGGAGGACAGACCGTCCAGCTGGAGCTCCTGGAGACTGAGGGTCTGATGGAGTTGGGCCAGCCAGCTCAGCTCGGAGACTGGCAAGCACTGCTGGGTAGACCGCGGGCTCACTCCTCTGGCCCTGAGACGAGGGAGCTGCTGACTGGACTGAAACCTTCTCCTGGTGATTCGGGGAGGATAGGGTGTCCAGGTGGGACTCCAGGAGGCTGACGAGATGACGGATCCGGCCAAGCTCCGCCTGGAGACCGGCGAGCTCTGTCAGCTGGGCTGTAGGCGTGGTTCCTCCGCCTACAGATGACGGAGGCGCTGATTGGACCGGAGACGGGACTGCTGGTCTGACTGGGGGCGTGTCCAAGCTGGTGCGCCGAGCCGGGGCAGCGGCGAGCTCGCGGCTCCGTCCTGGGACACAGGGTTGCCGTGCAGCCCGGCATCCTTCCCCACGCCGTGGGCCAACTCCGGGGGAGCACACAGCCAGTCTGGTGCCCACGTAGCAGGAGCGGTCTGGCAGCGTCTCCCGGTCCAACCTCTCATCTGGCTCCGGGAGGGTGGAGAGGAACGCCGAGGCTGAAGTTCAGTGGCGGCGTCTGCGGCGAGGAGACGCCGGAGGAGGAGAAGCCGGCCTGTGGTCCGAGGAGAGAAATTGGAGCAGGCACTCCCAGGGGAGAATCTCCCCGCTGGATCCTTTAGTGGGGTGGATCATTCTGTCAGCGCGTGGCGGTGAGTGAAGCAGATGCAAGGATCCACGTGCGGGTGAGGGAAGCAGGCAGGCAGACAAACCAGCACGAGTAAAAGTATTTAATGATCACATGCTGGACAATGAAACAATGATCCACAAAGAGACACAGAACTGAAGGGGTTTAAATACAAGAGGGCTGGGAGCTTGGGTGATTGGAAAACGAGAGGCAGGTAGGAGCATTTAACAGAGACGCAGGCTGAACCAAATGGGGAGACAGGACAGGGTGTGACATAGTGTGTCTGCTGAGCTGCTCTACACCACACACCGCAGGACAAAAACTGGTACATCTGTGATGTTTTTCAATCGTCTGACAATTTAAAAATCCTGTTATTTGAACTCTGGGCTTCATACTCAGGAGATCACAACAGCTTTTTTCCTGTTGAGTTTGGACAATCATCTGTCCCATTCTTCAACTTCCACTCTAAAATAAGCTTTTCAGTACTCCATTCTCTTGTGTGTCTGCTCATTTGCAGACTTTCTACCTTACTTTCACATAAACCCATAAAATTAGTAAGTTATAAATAAACTCAGCATCACCCTACTTATGTTACATCCATATTGTCGCATGGCTCTACATCAGAGAGACCAGACAGTCACAGCTCCCTCAGTGTGGGTAATCTTCATCACAACATGAACATTTAATGTAGTAAGGCTATTCCACATGATCTGCATATGTGAAAGAAAGGTGTTTATTACGAGGTTCATGCCTTCAAAGGGTTTGTAAACGTCTCTTTCTTTCAGATCTGTGGCAGAAGCTTGATCCCTCAGATCTGTGACCTATTTTAGGTTGAGCCGGTTGAATAAAGCGTTTGAAGCTAAAATTGGACCACAATGGTGTCTCTGCTGCAAACATGCTTTTCCAACCTTTCCTGCAGCAGAGCTGTATTATCAAGGGGACATAATGGCTAATTTCATCTCTTTGAACATTTCACTGCCTGTGCTGAACAAAAACTATTCATTATGTATTTTTATTTGGAAGGCTTTGGGGGTTATTGCCACTAATATGAATCCTTAAATGCAACCTCACCTGCAACATCACAGCTGCTTGTTTTGTTTTCCTTCTTTAGTGGGCCAATTTACACATGGATTTAAGGGTAAAAGAGAAGAACCGACAACTCTTCAGACATGATACCAATGGTAAACTAGTGTTACTACACTATGATTCAACATACAATTGTTTCCTATTAAATAGTTCATTGTTCTTTCTGTCCCTTAAGGTGTTTTAGACAAAAAGCCTCAGTTGTCTTTAAAGCAGGAAATCCAGGAGCTCCGGGGTTGTGCCGGCTGTCTGACTTCAGAGTTTAACTTGACTGATGTCCTCTTCTTCTGCCGGAAAGCCATGGAGAACGTTGTGGATGATGACGTGACCAAACGATTTTCCCCCCAAAAGTTAGACAGCTGGAATTTACTAACCAGGAACAACCACAACTTCTGTCATATAAGCCTGAGACTTAAAGTCGTGTGGGTTCTGGGACTCCTCCTCCGCTACGGAGTCCTTCTGCCTCTCAGGTGGCAACACACATGACCAAGCTCAGAGCTAGAGTGTCATAGATACAGCTAATATTTAACGGTGTATTGCTTTCTGCAGAGTAACTCTTGCCATCACAGGCATTTGTCTGTTCTTGGTTCTGAGCACCTTGGTGGGGGTTTTACCTAACACAAGGTCAGTTTCTGTCAGCTGTCATTAAGCTTCAAAGCATGCATGCAAGACATTTTTGTGACCTGTCGAAAGCTACGAGACCGACGAGGTCTAGCCTAATGTGTGCATCCCGTTATTCTCCCCAGGTTACGATCCTGCCTTAGTGACAAAGTACATCTGATGGGTTGCCACATCTGTGTGAGATCTCTCTCAGCAATTATCACCTATCACAACAGGTATTTCATGTTTAGTAGTGGTGTCAGCTTCCTGGGACATATTGTATCGTAAACCCAATTAACAAGATGCGTATTAATTATATTGAATCACTTCTACAATCATGCATTTGAGCAAAAACACAAAAATCCTAAAGTTAAGTTAAAACACAAAAGTTTTTTTCTATCAGCAGCATTCCAGATTTCTAAAGAGACAATTTGATTACTTTACATTTAGATAATAAGTAATAAGATGTTCAACTCGAAACCAGGAACAACTGCAATTATATGAATAAATAATTTCAGATTTGTGTTACAAGTTTGTGTTTTGTGTGTTCATCTGCAGACAGAACAAACCACAGAATGATGGCATCTGTGTGGCCAATCACACAACTCCAATTGATGGGATCATTTTGGCCAACGATCATTGCTACTCTTTGGTATAAGACATTTTGAGTGGGAGTGTGTTTTTAAGTATGTTTATTTTTGAGAAGAACACAGAATCCTGCCTGATATATAGTGTTATAGAATGTTTGTGAGGATTTTACTGATCTAAAAAAATAATCAAACGGTGTTTCAGGTTGGACAGTTGCATGGAGGCTTGCTGGGAATGATCCAAAGAGCCATGGTTACATCTTCTCCTCACATTTGGTTTGAAAGAGCAGAAGTCAAAGACCGACACCTAGTGGCCAAAAGGTATCAGTGCTGTCACAGTGTTCTCTTGTTTGGCTGAAACACTTTTATTTCATTAGTGAGTCAGTTCCTACATTAAACTTTAAAAGTTCAATTTGAATCATAAATTATGATACATTTTTTTCTGAAATGATCTCATTTCAGACTCACTGATCATGTTGCTGATAAAACCAAGCATCCTGTCCTCATCTTCCCTGAAGGTATGTATTTTAATGACTAAATATTTAAGAACTGGTCTTATGATGTTCGTAAAGGATTTCAGAATTTCTGGTTATTTTCAAAATGAATTAATTTGACAAGAAATTATTTAGGCAAAACATTTTAGAACATTCCAATGCTTGTTCTGGGACGTGTCAAGTTCACAATCTGGAAAATATTTTAAAAAAATGGATGAACGTTGGTGATTTTCTAAGTAAGAATACAAAGTGATTTTAAATTGCCTTCCTTTCATTTACTCTTCCAGATTATTGATGGTTGTTTTTCTTTTAATAAAAGACAGAAAAGTTACAGAGAGCATTTAAATGATATGAAGAGTTGTTTTATGTTTTATTTTAAAGGGGGCATATTCAGAATTTATTTCCTTGAGTTATAAAGCATCTATAATTTATTCAAAACATGTTTCTGAAGTGTTTTCTTAAAGTCTGTTTCACAAAAAAGCTGTTTTATTTTTGAGATTTTCAGCACCTTCCAGAATGACCCTTTGTAGGGCTCAGTCACGTAAAGAAAACAAGCTGAAGCTGGCCACGCCCACCCATCCCCCCTCTGGCTGCTATAAACTGAGAAGTTTTTATATCTGGATGGGGCTTGGAGTAGAGCTGCTGTTCCTCCAGTGGCAGCTCTCCTGCAGTTTCCTGCTCTCCTGTGTTTTAAATGCAGCTAAAATTGTTGTGTTCAGTGAGATTTTACCTCTGGAGGGGGAAGAAGTATTCTCAATGCCATTTAGCAATGAGGAGCTCACCCTCCAGTTTGACAGGATCTGTACTACCATTCTGGATCAGATTGCACCCTTTAGGATAAGGAAACCAAAGTGCAGAGCAGAACCATAGCTCTCTAACACTCGAGCCTGCAGGAGAGCAGAAAGGAAATGGAAACAGGACAGACTCCAAGTCTCTTGTGAAATATACAGGAAGTCACTGTTTAACTACCAGGGATTTGTTAAGCAAGCAAGAATTTAATTCTTTACTGGAAAGGAATTCACATGATCCGCGTACCCTTTTTAAGGTAGTGAACTCAGAGCTGGATTTTTCTGACTCTTGACTCTGGTTCTTGTCCCCAACAGTTAAAAACTGTGACGATGTCCTCCGTTTTTTCATTGATAAAGTAGCCGCTATCCAAACTGCTATGGTGGATTCCCATTCTGTTCCAGTGCCGCCCCGAGCCACACTGACAACATCTGAGTCTGTGTCCATATCTGAGCTGAAGAAGCATTCTCAGTGCTGGCCCCCTTAGTCTATCATAAATGGCAGTCTCAATTCCAGTGTGGTTCTGGCTACTTTAAAGAAAGCAGTTGTTCATCCATTGTGAAAAAAAAAAAACTGGATTGGATGCCACAATTTTAGATACCTACAGGCCCATCTCCAAACTCCCTTTTCTCTCAAAGCTATTGGAGAAGGTTGTGTATTCACATTTAGTTGCTTTTATGAACACACCCCTTCTGTTTGCAGTATTTCTCCTACCCCTGGAGCTTCTGCTTTGTCGGCATGGTGTCAAATTCCATCTTTATGTCGATGATTGACAGATCTATCTTCCACTCCGGCGGGGGGCTGGTGGATTTGTCTCTCCACTGTTGGACAGTTTAAGGGATGTTAGATCCTGGATGGCTTTTAACTTTTTACGACTGATTGACACTAAAACTGAAGTCATAATTCTCAGTCCTGGTAGATCAGATGGATCTGGCTCTGTCGTAGACCTTGGCCCTTTAGTGCCATTTGAAAAGGAAGTTTTGAGCAATCTTGGCATAAAAACTGACTCAGCTCTTAAGTTTGAAGCACAAATTAATAGAGTTGTGAGGTCCTGTTTTTTTTATCTGTGGCGCCTGTCTAGGATCAAGCGCCTTTTGCCTAGGGCAGGGGTAGGCAACCATGGTCCTAAAGAGCTGTAGTCCTGCTTTTTTTCCAACTATCTTGGTTGGTCCTGCTGTTGATTACTTAGATCAGGTGTGTTCAGCCAATTAGAAGCTGCAAGTTCATGCATGGCTGGAAAACATGCAGGACTGTGGCTCTCTAGGACCAGGGTTTCCTACCCCTGGTAAGGCACATGTGGAGTCTAGTATCCATGTATTTGTCCTGTCCTGGCTGGACTACTGCAATGTCTTGCATGCCAGCCTAAGTCAGGGTGCAGTTGCAAGGCTGCAGTTTGTCCAGAACTCAGCTGCAAGATTTCTAATAGGCACTAGATGCTGGGAACACATCACTCCATTCCTGGCATACTTACACTGGCTCCCGGTGCAATACAGGGCCAAACTTAAGATCCTCAGCACTACTGCACAGACATTTTCCATCTCTGCTTCTTTGTTCGGCTGAGCGAGAGCTGTTGGTGGTCCCCCACTCCTTAATCCACAGATTAAGGGGAGATTGTGCATTTTTGGTTCTGGCTCCAACGCTCTGCAACGAGTTACCTTTGAGTGTTAGGCACGGTTTTTAAGTCTTGCCTGAAGACTCAACAGCATTAGGGATCGCAACATTGCTTTGATCTTTTATTGTTTTTAGCTTTTTTTATGTTGGTTTCCTGTTTTTATTCAACATTATTTTAATGTTTTTAATGATTGTTGTATTGCCCTAAAATGACTCACGGCGGTATTTTTAATTCATGTAAACGTGTTAGTCTGGCTGTAGGCGAACCCTAACCCAACCCTAATCAAGCTGAAGCACCCAGATAATGCGGTAAGAATCCGACTTCATTCTGCATGTAAACGGGTCAGCCAAACCGTTGGACGCTCGCCTGTCAAAAGTGATGAGATTGTAGAAGGGGTCTTCTGACAATATTAGCACCACAAAGTAATACGTGTTACTCCAGCAGTACAGTAGATACTAAATAAGCTGTACCGCAGCATTGGTGTCCATTCCTTCTGCTATTGTACAAATCCTGTTTCAATTCTGGCTGCTTCACTTCTACTAGATACTTTTACTATTTGTGTTGCTATAAGCTAAGAATACCAATTTGAAAGGGTGCATGTTGACACCTTCTGTATCGGAGTGCAGCAAAGAGGTTGTTTTTCTAATGTGAACGTGGATAAAAACCTCCAACTTATTACCATAAAATAAACTTAGTTGTCGGTCAGTTTGCATGAAGACACACTGACTGACGGTTTTAGGCTGACAATGTATTATCTAAACAGGGATTCCCTAAGTGTGGTGCGCGCACCCCTGGGGGTGTTCAGTATTTGATCATTTTTAATGGTGTTGGAGAAATCTGAAGGTGGTGGTGAGTCATTCTGGCAGATTGTAATTAACACCCTGTCTCATGCAGGTGTTCTGACATTGTAAACCTCACACACAGAACATTGTGGATGTAACAAAAAAAATCAAGAAATGATTCCCATCTGAGCATTTTAGCATTATTATATTAGCACACTGACTGTGGGACAGCATTCTAAACGTGTCAGGCTATTAACAGCATGCTGAAGATCTGAAGTTCAGAGTGCGTCTGTCAGAGGTCAGATGCGTTCCAGCGGAACCACGGCTCACGGGTGCACATGTGAGCACATCTGGGCTGGGCAGAAGTAATTTTACAACATTGGTTTGAATAGCGCCAATAATGAGACGCGGTGACTTGCGCGGCTCATGGAGCTGTGCCGCACACACAAACACACACACACATACTGATTCAACAAGTGCACGCTGCGCAAACTCCGGCGCTGCACCGCGCTATCAGACTGAAGGCAGAAATGAGCGCTGCCTCCTCCGTGATAAAAACTTTTAAGAGGTTTTATAACAACATTTTTCATTCAAGGTCAAATTAAGATATTAGCTTCTATTTTGGGATGACGTATTAAAGTCGGGTCCGCTCCAGCCAGTGGAGCCATTCATGAACCTGTCCAGAACTCCTGTTACTGCAGCATTTGTTATTCCAGTCCGCGTGGCAGCGGATCGCAGATTCAGCCACACCATAAAACAGCAATAAGTCGGTCTGAGGCAAAAGTGAACCTCATGGCTATAGCTTTTCCATATTTTCCCCTATAGACATTTGATTACGCACAAGTAGGTGACCAGTTCAGGTTTACGCAGAGCAGAAGGAAGGAGAGAGCTCTGGCCACAGGTTAAACGTTCCTGCTTTAAGAAAACCGTGAAATTGCATTGTTTATGTGCTACCTGGGCCCTCTAAATATTTATTTAAAATTAAATCAAAGGAAATTGTAATAGTATTGAATGTTTATTAATTACTATTTCAAAAATACATAATACATAAACATAAAAATGAAAGTGATGGGGAAAAAGGTCGATCACATTTTTTTAACCCTGTTTGTCTGCCTATATATATATATATATATATATATATACATATATATATATATATATATATATATATATATATATATATATATATATATATATATATATATATATATATATATATATACATATATATATATATATATATAGAGAGAGAGAGAGAGAGAGAGAGAGAGAGAGAGAGAGAGATGCCCTGATGTGGGGCTGGGGGGTGCGTCGACATGGTCGGGCCATAGAAGGGGGTGCGCGGCTAAATAAGTTTGGGAACCACTGGTCTACAGCACGGTTAGACACTCATTTGTTATCAGCAAAAAGAGTTGATTTGGGGGTGATTCACTCTTTAAACCTTAAAATCCAATTGTTGTGGTTTGAGACAAATTTTGTAGTTGACTGAAGACAGTACTCAGTACTGTTTGCCTCTAAAACATGCTGGGTTAACCTTCTCATATGATTCCATCTGAAGGCACTTGCATCAACAACACCTCAGTGATGATGTTCAGGAAAAGTAGCTTTGAACTCGGCTGCACCATCTATCCTGTTGCCATTAAGGTTAGATTATTTGTCTGCCTTCTTCTTGGTGCTCATGTGGTTTATAGGGCCAGTCGTTAAGAGTTTATTTTCTATTCCAGTATGATCCTCGCTTTGGAGATGCATTCTGGAACAGCAGTAAGTTTGGTTTGGTGAGATACCTTCTGAGAACGATGAGCAGTTGGGCCATCGTCTGCAGCGTGTGGTACTTGCCGCCTATGAACAGAAAGGTGAGGCTGCATTTCACAGTCTCACAAATATAAGATTAGGATGTTAGTTCAGTGACTTATAGAATAGTAAAAGTGAATCCTTGTAAAATATAAAGTGATGGTGTCACTTCTGAGTTTCCTCTTAAGAGGTAAAGATTACACATACGGTACCTTGCAGGGATGAAAGTTGCCCTAGGAACACCTCTTTTAAAACTAGGATCATTTTGTGTTATTTTGTGATAAAAATTAGAAAAATATATTTTGTGCTTGAACTTTGTATGCCTTCATATGCCAAGTATATCTGTCCAATATTCTGCACCTGCTGCCTGTATATCCTCCACCAAGGGGAGGAGGATGTAGGATTCAGTATGACAGTTTGAGGAAAATATTAAACCTGATCCATCCACCACCTACAGGTGCAGGAAGATCAGAAGCAATTTGAGGCAAATTTGCCTTAATAGTCCACAAGCTCTTTAAAGATCTGACATGACTTAGCATCTTAAAGATGTACTGCACACTAAGTGTGTGTGTGTGTGTGTGTGTGTGTGTGTGTGTGTGTGTGTGTGTGTGTGTGCGTGCTCTAGCCACTAAGCAAGCATTTAGGGACAGTGGAGAGGAAAACTCTCTTTTAACAGGAAGAAACCTCCAGAGGATCCTCGCTCAGTATAAGCACCCACGACTCACTGGGGATGAGAATACAGAGCAGACACACACCTACAAACCTACTCACACACACAATATACCAAGTAGTGTTTCTATGGTTACATTGTGATTTCTTAGTAGATAATATATTTAGTAAGAAATAAACTTAATTGTCTTTATCTTAAGTTTATTTCTTACTAAATATATTATCTTAATTGTCTTTATCTTTGTCTTACCCCGGGGGACAAGAGGGTAGCTTCCTTGCGCCTTCGGGTCGGGGAACGGGTCCTGACTGTTGTTTGTGCTTATGGGCCAAATATCAGTTCAGAGTACCCACCCTTTTTGGAGTCCCTGGGACGAGTGCTAGATAGTGCTCCATCAGGGGACTCCATTGTCCTGCTGGGGGACTTCAATGCTCACGTGGGCAATGACAGCTTGACCTGGAGGGGTGTGATTGGGAGGAACGGCCCACCTAATCTGAACTCGAGCGGTGTTTTGTTATTGGACTTCTGTGCAAGCCGCAGTTTGGCCATAACGAACACCATGTTCGAACATAAGGATGCCCACCGGTACACTTGGTACCAGGGCAGCCTAGGTCACAGGTCGATGATAGATTTTGTAGTCGTATCATCTGACCTGCGGCCGTATGTTTTGGACACCCGAGTGAAGAGAGGGGCGGAGCTGTCAACTGATCACCACCTGGTGGTGAGTTGGATCAGATGGCAAGGGAACATGCCGCGTAGACCTGGCAGACCCAAACGCATAGTGAGGGTCTGCTGGGAACGCCTGGCAGAAGAACCTGTCAAGACGGTCTTCAACTCCCACCTCCGGCAGAGCTTTGACCACGTCCCGAGAGCAGTGGGGGACATTGAGTCCGAGTGGGCCTTGTTCCACTCTGCGATTGTCGAGGCGGCTGTTGCTAGCTGTGGTCGTAAGGTGGCCGGTGCCAGTCGTGGTGGCAACCCCCGTACCCGCTGGTGGACACCAGAGGTTCGGGGAGCCGTCAGGCTGAAGAAGGAGGCCTACAGGGCGTGGCTGGTCTGTGGGTCTCCGGAGGCAGCAGACAGGTACCGGATACCCAAGCGGGGTGCAGCAGTGGCAGTTGCCGAGGCAAAATCTCGGGCGTGGGAGGAGTTTGGTGAGGCCATGGAGAAAGACTATCGATCGGCTCCAAAGAGGTTCTGGCAAACTGTCCGGCGCCTCAGGAGAGGAAGGCAGCAACTCGCTCACACTGTTTACAGTGGGGATGGGGAGCTGCTGACGTCAACTGAGGCTATAGTCGGACGGTGGAAGGAATACTTTGAGGAGCTCCTCAATCCCACCATTGCGCATTCCGAGGAGGAACCAGAGCTGGGAGGCCTGGGGATGGACTGTCCGATCTCGGGGGCAGAAGTTGCTGAGGTAGTCAAACAACTACACAGCGGCGGAGGTTCGTCCTGGGTATCTCAAGGCTATGGATGTTGTAGGGCTGTCATGGTTGACACGTCTCTACAACATTGCGTGGTCATCGGGGGCAGTTCCTAGGGAGTGGCAGACCGGGGTGGTGGTCCCCATCTTTAAGAAGGGTGACCTGAGGGTGTGTTCCAACTATAGGGGGATCACACTCCTCAGCCTCCCTGGAAGGGTCTACGCCAAGGTACTGGAGAGGAGGGTCCGATCGATAGTTGAATCTCAGCTAGAGGAGGAGCAATGTGGTTTTCGTCCTGGCCGTGGAACTGTGGACCAGCTCTATACCCTTGCAAGGGTGATGGAGGGGGCATGGGAGTTTGCCCAACCAATCCACATGTGCTTTGTGGATTTGGAGAAGGCTTATGACCATGTCCCCAGGGGCACCCTGTGGGGGACGTTCCAGGAGTATGGGGTGGGTGGCCTTCTGTTAAGGGCCATTCAGTCCCTTTACCAGAGGAGCGTGAGTTTGGTCCGCATAGCCGGTAGTAAGTCGGACCTGTTCCCAGTGAGGGTTGGACTCCGCCAGGGCTGCCCTTTGTCACCGGTTCTGTTCATCACTTTTATGGACAGAATTTCTAGACGCAGCCGTGGTGTGGAGTGTGTCGAGTTTGGTGGCAGGAGAATCTCGTCTCTGCTTTTTGCGGATGATGTGGTCCTCCTAGCTTCATCCAGCTCTGACCTTCAGCTCTTGCTGGGTAGGTTCGCGGCCGAATGTGAAGCGGCTGGGATGAGGATCAGCACCTCCAAATCTGAGACCATGGTTCTCGACCGGAAAACGGTGGCTTGCCACCTCCGGGTCGGGGGAGAGGTCCTACCTCAAGTGGAGGAGTTTAAGTATCTCGGGGTCTTGTTCACGAGTGAGGGTAGGAGGGATCGGGAGATCGACAGGCGGATTGGTTCGGCGTCTGCAGTGATGCGGACGCTGAGCCGATCTGTCGTGGGGAAGAGGGAGCTGAGCCAGAAAGCCAGGCTCTCGATTTACCGGTCGATCTACGTCCCAATCCTCACCTATGGTCATGAGCTTTGGGTAATGACCGAAAGAACGAGATCGCGGATATAAGCAGCCGAAATGAGTTTCCTCCGTAGGGTGGCCGGGCTCAGCCTTAGAGATAGGGTGAGGAGCTCGGACATTCGGGAGGGACTCGGAGTAGAACCGCTGCTCCTCCGGATCGAAAGGAGCCAGTTGAGGTGGTTTGGGCATCTGGTCAGGATGCCTCCTAGACGCCTCCCCGGGGAGGTGTTTCGGGCATGTCCTGCCGGCAGAAGGCCCCCGGGTCGACCCAGGACACGTTGGAGAGGTTACATCTCCAATCTGGTCCGGGAACGCCTTGGGGTCCTGCCGGAGGAGCTGGTGGACAAGGCCGGGGAGAGGACGGCCTGGAGCTCCCTAATTGGGATGCTGCCCCCGCGACCCGGACCCGGATAAGCGGAGGAAGACGAAGACGAAGACGAAGACGAAGACGAAGTCTTTATCTTAGTGAATCTATAATTAATTCAACAGGTAAACTAGTAGTAGCACATTCCATGTCAATGAGAGTAAAATGTTGTCATCAGGAGAGGGAGAATGTTCAAGTGGTTAGCGGCAGTGTGCCAGTCGATGGCCCCCTCCATGAGGGCTATCACAGCTCAGCTTCTTCTGAGGAGAAAAACAGAGAAAATCAAGGTTGTGTCATGGTCTGCGTCAGCCCCCTTCCTTTATGTGCCTCCTGGTGTCCTCCATCCCTCTCTAGATTCCCTCTTGTGTCCCTTTGTTCCCCCAGCTCCCCTTGTGCTCTCTTAGCGCCCTCATGTGTCCTTGTCTGCATCCCTGTTATGTGTCTTATGTTGTAGCCCTTTGGCGCCCTCTTGTGTCCTTTTTCTGTGTCAGTTTCTGTGTGTCAGTTTGTGTGTCAGTCTAGTGTCTGATGTTATCTTTTACTGTTTCCTCCCAGGTCAGCTCCAGCCTCGTTGTCCCCAGCTCAGTGTGTGTGTATGTACTATGTCCTCCTCCAGCTAGTTTGTGTGAGTCCTTCCCTCTGTCTTTAGGAAATTGTTGTTTAGTTTTGTGTTAAGGTATTTGCTCCTCCCAGTGTATTTAAGCCCTGTCTGTCTCTGTGTTCTGGTCGGTCCATTGTTGCTTGTCAGCGTTATTAGTCCTGTCAGTCTGCTCGTTCCTCTGGTGTTTTTTGACTCCCTGGATTCTTGGATTTTGGCTCCCTCCCTGTTCTTGGATTTATTCTTTATTTTGGACACATCCTACAATAAAAGGATTTTCTTTATTTCAATTCCTGCCTCGTGTCATCCTGGGTTTTGCAATTTGGGTCCTACTCTCCTAAACGTGACAGGTTGCATCTGAAATAACAGGAAAAATTGTAATTAGAGTAGTGGTAGAGGAAAGTAGAGTCCGGAAAGTGGTCAGTATGTCCTCCAGCAGTCTAAGCTTATAGCAGCATAACTACAGAGATAACTCTGGATAACCTAGCCTTTTAGATGGAGGCATGTTAGAGGCAGGGCACGGGAGAGTCAACTTTACTGACTGTCTTCTCCACCTCCCTCTACTCTCCAACTCGTTCAGATTTGTTATAACATCAGATTTTAACCATAGGCCCTATCAAATAATAAGCTTCCTAATCAGCCACATTGCAGAAGAAACATTCTCATTCAATACAACAGCCAATAAAACCCATCCTAGTATTCAGAATGCACCCAAAAGGTAACAAAGAAGATAAGATTTCTAAATTATTAACATTACGCGGAACTGTGTGCATGTAACTTTCAGATGTATGTGTTTTGTTTTATTTCATTTATGAACAGGAAGGAGAGGATGCAGTACAGTTTGCCAACAGAGTGAAATCTGTCATCGCTGCCAAAGGAGGATTTGTGGATCTCAAATGGTGAATGACACACTTATTTAATCACATGATGTGTTAATTATTAACATCACACTGTGTTAAAATTGGACATGGAGCCAAATCCACAAAAATACTTTTTATATTTGACCTGCGACATTATTACACCCTGAAGCCAAGTCTTGATGATCCTTTCAGGGTAAGTGGAAAATGCAGCCACTGACATTCTGAGTATGACACCTTGTGTCTGTTGTTTTTTTGTTCTCCTGTGTTGGGTCAGGGACGGTGGACTGAAACGAGCCAGAGTGAAAGAAGCTTTTAAAGAAGAGCAGCAGGAACTTTACAGCCGACTTGTTGTAGGCGTGAGCCAAGGTGCTGACAACGCTGCGTCGGATTCAGCAAAAGAATCCTGAGCATTCCGTAACGCTGACATGACAACATGGACCTATAGACTCACATCTGATGCAATGGCAGTTCAGTTTTTACAAAAGTAGGAAACTAAATCAAACTCAAGCCTGGATTTAGGGAGTTTTCCACTTAAAAGTGGATGTTTATTTTGTTTGGTACAGAAAATGAGGGAGAATGAGCAGGGGTGGTCCTAGAACTTTTGGCGCCTTAAGCGGGAAGCTCAAACCCGCCCCGAACAAACATTCTGAATGAGGGTGACTTTTCTGAAATGATGAGAAAAAAATACTTTTTTTGTTTTTTTAGTGAAAAAAAAAGAAGTTTTTTTTATATTTGACTCATAATGACTCATAAGTCAAAGAGCTGGCACAGCAGTAGCTCAGGAGGTCATGCAGTTTGTCCAGCAGTCGGAAGGTTGCAGGTTTGATTCCGGCTCCAACTAGAGAATCCTGGACACTTAACTTGCCTTGCCTGCTGGTGGTGGTCTGAGGGACCGGTGGCGCCAGTGTTTGGCAGTCCTCGCCTCTGTCAGTGCGCCCCAGGGTAGCTGTAGCAACATTGTAGCTCATCCCCACCAGCGTGGGGATGTGTGTGTGAATGGGTGAATGACTGAATGTGTTATAAAGCGCCTTGGGGGTTGTAGAACTCAAAGACAGAGCTACACAAATACAGGCGATTTACCATTTTAAATGTGAAAACTTTCCATTTTCTCACTCATATATCAGCTTGTTTCATAGCTGTAATGAATTAGATTACGTGGTGGTGTCAAATATGAAACTGGTCAAGTTTCTGACGCAGTCACTGAGTTCAATGAATGATTAATGTAAAGAAAATTGCTATCTATTGCTACTTTAACAACTGAAATAATTAAAAGTGTTCTATTTTTCCTAAATTATTTTAAAGCTTATTTTGTTTTGCAGTTACCGCCTAACATAGGAAGGCATAAGTTTGAAATGTTGATTTATTCTTTTAAAAAGCTGGAAAAGTACATTTTTGCCGAGAAATGTACAAGAAATGCTACAAGGTCTCACACTTGCTTGTTGGTTTGGGGAACGTCCAATATTCTGGGTCTCGCTTAAAGTTTAAATGTTGTTTTCAGTCTGGACGCTTCACAAAGCAGATAGCCTATAGAGCTCCGGACCCCACGTGACTCTCAGTTAGTAGACGCCATATTGGCAGGAAAAAAAGGTAAACAAACACGGATCGTAAACGTGAACATGAACGGGATCGGCTTGGATTTTACTTCGTCGGAGTTTACTTCACACTTTAAAACCGAAGAAATCGTTTTATATAGTCAGAAATTAAATAGACTAAACATCTCCGACCCTTACCGTGCCCCTGGGATACTTTTTTAAAACGCCAGAAGCTGTCGGCACGGACTTCTTACTGGACCTGGCCGGGGAACCCCTTGGGATTTCCCCAGAGGAGCTGGCCCAAGTGGCTGGGGAGAGGGAAGTCTGGGCCTCTCGACGCTACTGCCCTCGTAACCCGACTCTGGATAAGCGGATGAAAATGGATGGATGGATGGACAAATAACAGATTTACATGTAAGTAGTTTAAATAGAGTGCTGTGCTGTTTGAATGTATAAACTGAACGCCAAGAGAAATCACTAGTCTGATTTTTTTCCGTGAATAAAATAAATATGTCAGGCAGGAGCGTCTCAGGATCTGTCTGAGAGCTGTCTCGGTGAGACAGATAATAGCAATCCAAAGTGCTTTTTATGTGTGATCTGACAATTGATCAACCACTGCTTAAAAATTAAAAACAGCTTAGCCGGTTAATTGCTGTGATCATAAAACACGTAAACGGCAGCACGCAGAACTCACGAGGCAACGTTTTACGTGATGTTTACTTGCTGCTGTGAGTAATAAGACAGAAAAAGCTACGCCAGAATAAGTTTAGGAAGCCCACTAAGAATCGTAATAAAAGCATTTAAAATAAACACCATACACAGTTGAGGAAACGTTGGTTTTAGTACCTGATATGAAGTGGTCGCTGCATAAGTGAAAACCTTTACTCTCGGGATCCCACAGTTTCATTTTAGCTCGGTCACTAGCACGTTTTATTGCAATGATCCAACGTTTGCGGCGCTCCGGATCTTGGGGAATCTTGTAGATGGCTCATTGCTTATGTCGTCCGCGTCTGTTCTGCATCCTGGGGCACAACAGGAATCTACCATACTTCCTGTCTGACTGAGTTTTCTGACAATAACAAATAGTCCAGCTGCGGGCTTCTGCCTGCCAAGATGGCGCCGTTTCGATTTGAACTGTTGCATGCCGGGAGAAGTGACGTCAACTCCCGGAGCTCTATAAGTGAATGTATTTGCTTTTGTGTTTGATGAGCTAACACAATTATGTAAGGGGTTTGTGTAGGCCTAATTAGTGACATAACTTAAGACTCAAGACAACTTTATTAATCCCCGAAGGGCAATTTGAGACAGCATTGTGAAGCAGCAGACACTAAAACCTCTAAGCTCTAAAACTAATCAATTTACATATTCATAAAACCTACATACGCATTCACCTCATACGTTTACATTTGAATGATCATCTATGAGTAAACCTTTATGCTCACACACACACTCACTCACTCCCTCACACATACGCACATACAAATACACATATGTACATGTACTTACATGCACGCACATACAAGTAATGCACACACTCCCCATCTGCACTAAGAATTAAGAAGAAGCACAGCTCTGGGAACAAAGGAACTTCTCTTCCTCTGTGTTTTACAGCATGGGCAGCGAAGTCGGCGTTTGGAGGGCAGCGACTCGAAAACAGTATGAAGAGGGTGTGAGGGGTCTTTAACAATTTTCTGTGCTAAAGTTCCTGTATGCTGGTCACATTGAGATGTTAAGTTTCTCAGTGGTAGACCAACGATCCGAGAGCACACCTTGACGATGTTTTGTAGACTGTTTCTATACGTCAGGCTGACAGAGTTAAACCAGCAGGGGATGGAAAATGTGATCTACGAAAGAGGGATAGAAAGTCAGTAAAATGTCCTTCCTGACTCCAGGAGGTAGAGTTGTTGCTGGCGCTTTCTGAGAATATCCTCAATGCTGGAGGTGAATTTCAGGAGGTGATCAAAGGTGGTTCCTAGATATTTATACTCTTCATCCAGCTCCACTGGCTTTCCATGGATGATGGTGGAGGCAGCGGTAACCGGTGCTCTGTTTGTGTGAGAAGGACACCACCATTTCCTTGGTTTTGCTCACGTTCAGCTCCAGGCATGCAGTGTCACACCAACCCACAAACTCCTGCAGGACCTGCCCATGGTTAACAGAAGGGCCTGGCAGAAGAGACAGGAGCACAGTGTCATCAGCATATTCTGTTAGGCTGGGCGCATCTACAGTCATCTGTATGCAGGATGAAGAGTAGAGGAGACAACACGCAGCCTTGTGCTGGCCGGGAGCCAGTGGAGGTTTAAAGAAGGTCTGAGAGAGTGTTGTAAACCAGCACGTTCTGTGGTCTGTTAGTTAAAAAAGCCAGGATTCATAGGATTATCTGATCATCCAGGTGAAAAAGAGAGGAGAGTTTGCCAGCCAGGATGTGAGGTTGCAGGGTGTTAAATGCTGAAGAGACGTCAGCAAACAGGAGTCTAGCTGAAGAGGTTGGGATCTCCAGATGTCTGTGCACACTGTCTAAGATGAATGTTTTTGCATCAACAAAATAAATTAAAAAAAATACATTCATCTTAGACACCGTGTACAGACATCTGGAGATCCCAAACTCTTCAGCTAGACTTCTGTTTATGAAATGAGGAACATATATACCATATATATGTAGACTTTTCATAATCTGTTCCTTTTTGTTCTAGAACAGAGTAGAAAAGTTCTTTATTGTCATAAATGACAAATGACCCACACTTGAATAGCGCCTGTCAGAGTAAGGACTCCAAAGCACTTTACACTACAGTGTATCATTCATCCATTCACACACTAATGGTGATGAGCTATGATGTATCCACAGCTGCCCTGGGACGCACCATCAGAGGCGAGGCTAGCGAGCACTGGTGCCACCGGTCCCTCCGACCACCACCAGCAGGCAAGGTGGGTTAAGTGTCTTGTCCAAGGACACAACACCAGAGTTCTCAGTCCAGAGCCTGGATCGAACCTGCAAGCTTTCGATTACCGGACAACCCGCTCTACCTGTTGAGCTACTGCCTCGTAATATCTGAAGGTATAACAAAATCGAGGGTACTCCCACTGAGTCAGCCACCTTGGAGTAAAACAAACAGATGGGGAAAACATGGTAAAACATAATTTACAAAATCCCATTTAAAAAGGTGCAACATAGGTAAAGACATGTAAAACAAACAAATACACCAGTAAAAAAGGTGAAACCTATGAAAGAAAGTGCAGATGGTTCAATAAAGAACTGAACTCTGGGGGGTGACCCTGCAACGTTTCCCTTCATGCATATTTAATAGTACATAATCTATGTGATAGGACCAAACATGTATTTCAGGTTTCTTTCAATCAGATTTACAGAAACGGCAGATTATATGTTATAGCTGAACGATTAACCCTGCAGTCACGCAGAGCTCTGACGTCAGATTACTAATTGGCTCAAGATTCTATTTTTGTTTATAACCTTTGCTGCAGTGAAACCCATATAAAGCACGGCCCGCTCATTTAACAGAGGGGAAATATACAGTTTTGTTGTAAATTATTTTTAAAACGTGGTATTTTTTCCTCGAACAGCAGGAGTCACTGTTTAAATAATAAAACCATTGGGGAAGTTGTGAAAGCTAGATATAAACCTGAGAGGATGTTACCCTGCAGACTGGTGAGAGAATAGAAAAACTGAATATATTCTGTAGACGTGACTCCAGTTTGTCTGGAAATGTGAAAGTAATAGCGGGAAATCAGGTACGGGGAGGTTACCAGTCCGGCAACTGGGTGGATCCAGCAGACACTTGAGCCTGAGACTATACAGACCCCCTCCCCACACACACACGCACACGCACACACACACACACACGCACGCACACACACACACACACACACACACACACACACACACACACACACAGGCCTTATCTGATCAAGGCTCACCAACCAGGTCTGCTGTCCCTTCCCATGGTATTTAGAGCAGCAGCCTCAGGTTTGAGAGGAAGACCGCTCTTTTGTTAAAGTTTCATTTTTATTCTAAAAAACTCTGATCTTGTCAATATTTTAAAAAAGCAAATATTTTAATTCTGTGTTACTTAATACGTCATCCAAATGTATAAAACCCGTTTTTACATATTGAACTAATTTATTTCTCAGGTGTTGATAATACTCAGGTGTTTGCTGTTGAATGAAGGTGTGAATAAACACACCACGTGCCAAGGAATAATCCAATCACCTGTTAGCTTGCAGGAGAGGGGCGTGATCTGTCCAAGCCAAGCTCCCCCCCTCCCGGGTGTGAACTCGCTCAAACAGCTGGTCCCTGAAGTCCGGAGGAGCTCTTAAACTAACTTTTCCGGGCTGCTGTCCAGTTTCACGGCGAGACCGCTCGTTTGTTTTCGGGCTTCATGATCGCAGATCCACAGGTGGTGTCAAACATGTCGCTAGCGGACCAGCTGTGGTGTCCCACCAGCGTCCAGGTAACGGTGCTCCAAGCCAGAGGGCTCAGGGTGAAAGGGAAGAGCGGCACCAATGACGCATACGCGCTCATGCAAGTCGGGAAGGAGAAGTTCCAGACATCAGTGGTGGAGAAAACCGTAGCTCCGGTGTGGAAGGAGGAGGCCACCTTCGAGCTGCCGCCGGTGCTGCAGGCAGGCGGAGGAGGACCGGAGCGCTGCATGCTGCACGTCCACGTCCAGCACCGAGCCCTGGTGGGTCCAGACAAGCAGCTGGGACAGGCTGCCATCAACCTGCTGCAGCTGAGCGAGGACACAACCCGCAACAAGACACAGTAAGTCCACCAAGACCAAATGGATCAGAAACAAAACATGAAGTCACAGCAGGAGTGTTTAAACACCCAGCAGGTGACTTGCAGCTGACTGACTTCCTAAACTTTACAACAAGCTGCAGCAGCGTTCTCTCCTCCCACCTGCAGCTCTGTTTCCCCCAGAAGTAACTGAAGTTTTACTCTGTAAACTTTTTCCTGATGGGTAAACGTTGAAATTCTGAGTTAATGAGCCAATGTTGATCAGAACCACCTGCTGCACCTTTGTGACCCCCTCAGAATCAAACTATAATCCCACTTTAAATGCTCAACAGCCCTTTTCAGCGTTTGTGAACAGAGCTGTGAATTATTTAATGTGAGACAACCCTGGTCAGCATTTTGAAGAGCTTTAAATGCGTCTGCTGATGTTTTAGCAATGAGAGCTCAGCTCCATGCACCACTGCACAAGCCCGTTCTACCGGCTTGGACTTCTGATGGTTGCCCACTTGCACCGGTGCTGCTTGAGGGAGTTGTTTCCTTGGCAGCAACCCTCAAGGATGCCTAACAGCGTTACCTACATCAGCAAATGAATGCAGAAGGTGAAAAGATGACCCCCACATCCACCTACTTGACAGGAGACACTTCCTTCTAAACTTTACGGTAATTAAAAATTCCCTCCCAAACAGGAGCAACCATCTGAAATGATCAAATAATTAATCCACACCCTTGTTTGAGGTAATTGTTTAGTCTGAAAAGGATCAGATATGTTGGAGAGTCCAGCAGCAGGTTTTACAGGCCGTTCTGGTGCTGGTATCTGATCCTGCTAAAGAACGTTTTAGAATTTAGTATTTTCCTGAAAACGAAGTAAAGAGGATAAACAACTCGTTCTGAGGCATCATTTGCCTCTGTCAGAATCAAAATGTTTTAGCACTCCTGTATGCTGCTTTTGATGCAAAACTCAAATACTCAGGTGTGTATGGAACAAACTTATTTTGGTTTCCATAACCTGTCCCTTTATTAAAAACAACTCCTGGTTAATAACACAGAGAGCTAATCCAGCCATCACAAACGATTCCTGCTCCAGGCTTAGTGAATGTTTTCTATCCCTCCATAACCCAGAGCAGCTTGCTCACTCCTGCTTGTTTTACTTGATGTCTTGGGACAAATGCATGCAAAGCAAGGCTCTTATTTGTTCGTTATAATAAACTATTTCAACCAACTTGTGGTCAGATTGTTATCGACTGTTTACTAAGAGAAGACACATGTAAAGGCAGCAGTAGCTCAGGAGCTGGAGCGGGTTGTCCAGTATTTGGAGAGTTGTAGGATCGATGCCGGCAGAGAATGCTGTTGTTGTGTCCTTGGGCAAGACACTTAACCCGCCCTGCCTGTTGGCACTGGTCTGAGGGGCCAGTGGCACTGGTGCTCGACAGCCTCGCCTCTGTCAGTGCACCCCACGGCAGCTGTGGCTACATTGTAGTGTGTGTGTGTGTGTGTGTGTGTGTGTGTGTGTGTGTGTGTGTGTGTGTGTGTGTGTGTGTGTGTGTGTGTGTGTGTGTGTGTGTGTGTGTGTGTGTGTGTGTGTGTGTGTGTGTGTGTGTGTGTGTGTGTGTGTGTGTGTGTGTGTGTGTGTGTGTGTGTGTGTGTGTGTGTGTGTGTGTGTGTGTGTGTGTGTGTGTGTGTGTGTGTGTGTGTGTGTGTGTGTGTGTGTGTGTGTGTGTGTGTGTGTGTGTGTGTGTGTGTGTGTGTGTGTGTGTGTGTGTGTGTGTGTGTGTTAAAGTATCTGGGGGGGGGGTTGTTGAACCCTAGAAGGCGCTATACAAATACTGGCCATTTTAAAATTACTGTAATTGTGATCTTCCTGTTTCAAAAGGTGAATGTAGTTAAAATAAAATGTTTGTTCACAAATGCTAATCAGGTTTGTTCGACTTTCACCCGCAACTGTTTATACTTTTATTTTGTAAAGTGACACTTGTACTTGGTGAGCATGCATCCATGAGATTAACGTTTGGTTTTCGTTTGTAATTCAGATTCAGCCTCATGTGTGTTGATATTTTTCTGAGCTCAGTAAATTCACGTGCTGCGACGTTTCAGCCCCGCTTTGGCCTTGCATTCCTGACTGTTTTATCAACGAAAAACAAACACTGATGGCAACAGTGAAAGTCACGTAAGGTCAGGCTTTTTTTCTCCAGCATGTAAGCACTCAGCCTTGACTGATTACATTTACCAGAGGAGGTGGGGGTGTCCTTACATTATATAAGGGCAAGTAGAAGTTTTGCTTTGACTCTTCGGGGGGGGGGGGGGTTCTCCAACTTCACAGAGAGAAAACTGAAGTCCTTGTTGACACATTTGTGCCTGAGGTGGTAGAAACTCTTGGTTTTATTGCTAAAAATATCTTCAGTTGGAATTTTGGTGGAATCTCGGCTCAGCTGTTGGACATTCTCGTCAAATAGGTTTACTCTTGCTTTTATCACCAAGAAGTTGTTCTGCTGCTCTCAGCTGAAAATAGTTCTACACGCATTTAATCCCCAGTTGTCTAGATTACTGTAACTCTTTGTCAGTTTGCCTCTCGATCTGACGGCTGCTTCAGAATGTTTCACTTCTCACACTGATTCACTGGTTTTGACTTGACGTTGTTAAAGTGGACATTTTATGCAAAAACATTCTTGTGCTTTCTTTTGTGCCACCATGTGGGTCTTTACCGCTTCTAAAAACAATCACAACGTCAAAAAACCCAGTTAATCCATTTTCTGTCCCTGTTTGCTTTCAGGATTTGTCTAAACACAAACTCTAGAAGTGGATTCTTGAACATCCTGTTTATTTTTGTGAAACCCCCCACCTCGCGCGCACACACACACCACTTCCTTTCCTCTCCCCCCTCCGTTTCATTTGTCTTCGTGTCTGTTGGGATTTACAACAGTCACACATATTTTTAATAAAGTTTTGGTATCAGGAGTAGCATTATAGCTAAATCTATAATGAGAAACTGTGAGGTTTGTCTTCTGAACTCGGACATCAATTCTGATTGCTTTATAGCCGGACAGGACAGGAAAAAAAATGTCTTAAACGAGCTGTTTCAAAAAGTCCCCGTCAGTGATGTCACAAACGGAGACAATACAATAAAACCACCTCTTGTCTGAAGGAGAGCTGCTGAAGGAACAGCGGCTCTCCTAAAGGATATCGGAGCTTCTCAGCTTATAGTAGTCTCGGCGGGGAAAGGGTGGGCGTGGCCAGCTCCAGCTCGTGTTCTTAAAGTGACAGAACCCTGAAACGGCTCCTTCTGGAAGGTGCTGTAACAGTCAAGAATAAAACCCAACAAAATTGAAAGAACTTCATAAACATGCTTTGTCATGTCCATAGGACTATGATAACTTGAGAAAAAGTCATGTGTCCTATCTTAGATCGGAGAACTTCTACATCCATACGTCCCCGCTGTGTCCCTGAGGACATGTGAGGATGTTCTGCTGGTAGTACATCAGTGACCTCCAGATTCTGAAACTCCCTCTGAGCTCCAGATATTCAGCCTTTTTGGTCTTTTTTTTTTTTTTGTGAAGCACTTTATTATTAACTGAAGATGTAGACGCTTGGGTCGGTATTGTTTGAAAAGCTGCTCCGTTTTGCTTTCTAATAAGAGGACAGCTGATCTTTCAAGCTTTATTCTGAACCTTTTTGTTAGACTCATCATTCAACTTCAGCTCTGTGAACTCAAACATTACTCTTGTTATGACAACAAGCTAAGTTCATCTGTTGCTTCCCGGAAACAATCTTGGAGATCTAATTATGAAAGAAAACAAAAGATCAAGGCTCCAGATACAGATCTCATGTCAGGAATGGATTAATCATTGGTCTGCTGCAGCCACTGGAGTCCGTTTTCAGCTTTATTCTGTTTACTTGAGGCTGCTGCCCTCCTTTTGCCTTCTCCAACACACAGACACACCAAAACCTGGGCAATTTTAGACCTCAGTGTTATTTCTCTTACTCAGCTGTTCTCACACTAACAGCTGTGTTCTGCGATAAGAACGGCCCGAGTCACTCCGGGTATTGTGTTATCGCTAGTACAGGAAGGATGTGTGAAGAGAAAGTATGGTGACATATCCACACAATCTGGAGTTGGTAATGACCCTCCTGTCCAGCAGAATGGTACGTTTCTACCAGAGTAGTGAGTTGAGTTTTGGAGCGTCTCCACTGCGTTAGTAAATGTCACTTCATCTCCTCCCGCTTTTGCAACTTCCCTCCTGATTTAACAGAAGGAACTTGGTTCTTCTCATTTTGACTTGTTGGGTGTGGTTTTTGAGGCTTGTGAGGTAGCGGGCCATAAAGTAGTAATGTTTTAGATTATTTTACTTTGTTTTAGATCCTCGGTCAGATTATTATACAATAAGGTTCTGAACGTTGGTGAATGACTCTACTTTAATACATGTTAAAGAGGAATATTTCTATAAGTTTATTGTTGGCTAAAAGACATTTTTTCCAGAAACATTTTTAAAAGTCTTTTTGTCCATCCTTTTCGTTTTGACCAAAAATGTAAGTTCTGACCCAATGAGGAATTATTTTAAATTATCATTGAGCTCATCTGTAGGCTACTTCTTTACCTTTTGGCTGTTCTAGAAACAATTAGAAAAATGTGCTTAAACTGCTTTTGTTCTTCAGTCTGCATTTGCATTCTGCAGTGAAGCACCAAGCCCAGTCGATCCCACCATGAGCTCGTGTGTGTGTGTGTGTGTGTGTGTGTGTGTGTGTGTGTGTGTGTGTGTGTGTGTGTGTGTGTGTGTGTGTGTGTGTGTGTGTGTGTGTGTGTGTGTGTGTGTGTGTGTGTGTGTGTGTGTGTGTGTGTGTGTGTGTGTGTGTGTGTGTGTGTGTGTGTGTGTGTGTGTGTGTGTGTGTGTGTGTGTGTGTGTGTGTGTGTGTGTGTGTGTGTGTGTGTGTGTGTGTGTGTGTGTGTGTGTGTGTGTGTGTGTGTGTGTGTGTGTGTGTGTGTGTGTGTGTGTGTGTGTGTGTGTGTGTGTGTGTGTGTGTGTGTGTGTGTGTGTGTGTGTGTGTGTGTGTGTGTGTGTGTGTGTGTGTGTGTGTGTGTGTGTGTGTGTGTGTGTGTGTGTGTGTGTGTGTGTGTGTGTGTGTGTGTGTGTGTGTGTGTGTGTGTGTGTGTGTGTGTGTGTGTGTGTGTGTGTGTGTGTGTGTGTGTGTGTGTGTGTGTGTGTGTGTGTGTGTGTGTGTGTGTGTGTGTGTGTGTGTGTGTGTGTGTGATATTGAACTCAACCAGATTTTTTTATTTCAAACCTGATGAAAAGACATGAATAATCAGTCTTCATCAGAACACGATAGCCAGTTGTACAAGCTTCTCCAGGTATTATGGTTCCAGTTTGGTGCTTTAAAACACGATGACAAAATTAGACATGATTATAAGGAGCATACACTCTTACCTCCGCTTTATAACTGCAGAGACCTATAAAAGGACTCAAGTCCAGCAATTTACCAGCTTTTATTGGTGCAAAAGGTATGTTGGTACCACCTGCAATGGCCACTCCTAGGAACATTAGACACTTCAAAAAAATATATAAATTTAGCAAAAAATAAAAACTTTTTGGTCCGTTATTTCATTAAAGCCTGAGTTTCCTTTTTATTACAGGCACAGGAGTTAAGTGCTTGCCCTGTAATCGAAAGGTTGCAGGTTCAAGCCCCGCTCAGTCTGTAGCTGTCATTGTGTCCGTAGGCAAGACACTTAACCAACCCTGCCTGCTGATGGTGGTCGGAGGGACTGGTGGCACCTGTGTACGGCTGACTCACCTCTGTCGGTGTGCCCCAGAGCAGCTGTGTCTACAATGTAGCTCATCACCAGGGTGTGAATGGGTGAATGACTGATTGTGTTGTAAAGCGCCTTGGGGGGTTCCATGACTCTAGAAGGTGCTATATCAAATACAGGCCATTTATCATTACGGTTTATAAGAATTGTGCATGACTTGACCAACACGGTTTAACGTTTGGTAGCAACACCGTATTTGAAAACTGGAGGCACCCCCAGGCAGTGAGCAAATTCACACAAAACGTTCACCTTCTAATCATTCTAGGAAATGCAATTGCAGGAAAACACTGCAAATGCATTTTCTTGTTTAGTTATTTATTCAAACTGTTGGCTTGTTTCTGTTGGGGTCTGCACAGTGTACCCCCTCAAGCTGTCAGTCTGGCTCGTACGGCCGTTTTTCTGAACAAAATGCCAAAAATATTTGAATGTTTTGTTTTCTTGAACAAATCCACAGTAAAATAATATAATCTTAAGTAATTTACAATATTCAATCCGGGCTGAATACGGAGAGACTTCAGCAACGTTTGAAGATTGTTGTAGAATGTGCTTTTGGAGCGAGGTCAAATATAAGATAACTTTTTCATGAAGGAGATAGCTGTCCAATAAGCAGGTTGAATCTCTGAAGGTCATCTAATCACCTCCCCAGCTTCGAGCACCAGGGTTGAGCAGCTGCTTGGCTGTTGAACATCAGGAGTTTGTAGTAATCTCACCACTCTTCTGTAATGCTGAATAAGTGGAAACCAAAAGGAAATGATTAATCTGACAGACCAAGTTTTGGAGGGTAAAATAGAAGAAAAAGCAACAATATGAATATGGTTGTTGTAATCTGTTTTGGTATCGATATCTGTTACTGCACATTCTTGCATGGATATGGCTTGTTTTGGTCCAAATGTTCTACTTTTGTATTAAACTGTTGAAACAGATCAGGTTGTCCTTGCAGCACAAAAGAAATGTGGCTGCACATATGAAATAATCCTTCATTTCCATGACAAATGGTTGAAATAGCATTTAGCTGAAGCGCATTCATCAGACCCCATGAGGTAGTATTTATAATGCCGAGGCCTGGAAGTTGCAAATCTCATCTCGTTACTCATCAGTAAATGGGGGGTGTGGGAGCTTTGACAGCAGTGAACTATGCTGCATATTCCAGGAAAGGCGGTTTTCCTCCTCTGGTTTGTTTGTGCCACACATCTGAAGCATTCCTGAGGAAGAGAGGAGGATCCTAACAAAACAACTTCTGCAGGACAATAAGAGAAGAGCTGTGCACTCTGTAGTGGTGACGTCTCTGGAGGCTTTTTAACTGAGGGTTCACATACTATAAAATAACACATTTTAGAGAATGACACAAAGCGCCTGCAGCAGGTATTCAGGATGACTTTTTTTATTTGCTTGGCACACTTGCAGACACGGTGCCCCCTTCCTGACTTCCTCATTTCCTTTGGAATCCAGATTTCAGTCTGTTTTCTCACTGATGAGCTGTCCATTTTTTTTGTCTGATAAGCACATTTTATGCTGACTTTATGAAATGATTGTTGTCTTCCTTAGACCCTTTGAACAGAACCGTAACAGCTGCAGAAAGTTACGCCAATGCATTTAAGGATTTTCAGTATTTTATGCAGGTTTTCATTTAGGTCAAGATCAGTATGTTAGTGTTGGTACAATGTCTTATTAGATATGGTAGTTTACATTAACACACACACACACACACGCACACACACACACACACACACACACACACGCGCGCTGTACCAGTGTTTGTAAGGTAAAGGTGGAGTTAAGAGGAGATTTGCGCTCCATGAGAACCCAAAGGCTAATCTCCTTAGATTGAAAACAAACCCCCTTTCTCTCTGTCTGGGACAGGATTTACGTCCAGAGTCAACAAGAGTAAATGTGCAACGACCAAGTTCACTGAGAAACAATTTTTGTACTAGTTCATTTTTAAATATGATCAATCTGAGTTTAGCATGCAGGCTGAATGCATCCTCTACCCCAATTTCCAGCATTAGCCACTGATTATTAAATAGACGGGGAACTCTTGTGGGCCATTCCCATCTGTACCGGGTCGGCCTGGGCCGGGTAGCCCAGGTTGTTTACATATCTGGGTGGCCTGGTATTTTTCCGGGCCAACCAAGGCTCATTCTCAGCCCTCTTCTCGAGGGGGTCTGCTTCAGGCCGACCAGGGCCAACACACCCACTGCTGACAGCAAATTCACACCTTCCATTAGAGCAAGCCTCTGATTGGTGGGTAGAATCAGCCCACATGGGCTTAAGACAAGGATGTGTGGAATCAACCGGGCCAGGCTGGGGCCGACTGGGGCTACCCGGCCCGGGCCGACCCGGTACAGATGGGAATGGCCCATTGGATTACAAGTCAGTAAATTCTACGTCACATTGGAAATTGGCATTCGTGGAATCACCCATCTCAACTCACGACGTGGAAGGATGTTTTGGGTTTAGCGTCCAGGAAACCACAGATAACATCTCTGCTAGTTAAAGCTAACTGTTAGCATTAGCAACTCCACCACATGGCAGAGCTCCTCCAGGCTTGAGTTATTTGTGGAGATCAAACATCAACGTTGCGAAGCAAAGTCTGTGGTAGTTACGTTGTTGGTAGCCAATCACAGGAGAGATGTCTGAATATCAGGAAATAGGACTCCAAATCTCGCAGTCTTCTGCTCCCCACTCCTCCAGCTAACTCCTCTCTGAAACTAGAGCACCAGAGCTCTTTCCTCACAGAGATCGACTCACAAGGTGTTCCTTTAATTCTAGAGGTCGCTGCAAATGTGTTAAACAAGTAAACTTAGTCTTTAGGTCTAAGAAAATTACATAACATTCATCTAGATCAAGCAAATGAAAGTTTTCCACAAATAAATGAAATCACCGTATTCTGATTTCCAGTTGACCTTTTTGTCTTAATGTGTCCAACAGGTGGTTTAAGTTACTGGACAAGACTGGCAAAGCAGACAAAGACCGAGGAGAGGTTCTTCTGGACATCCAGTTCATGAAAAACGACATGACCGCCAGCATGTTTGACCTTTCTACGGCAGGAAAATCCCGCTCACGTCTGGGAAAGTTCAAGGACAAAGTCCGTGGCAAGAAAAAGGAATCCGAGCCTCCTGTTGTGCCATCTTTAACTCAGATTCTGACGGACAGTGAGGAGGAGGAGGAGGCAGCAAATGGGGATGCTGAGGGGAAGGGCAAGGACAAAAAGTCAAAGAAACTCAAGATGAAGTCATTATTTGCTCCCAAGTCCAACCTGCAGAGGAATATGTCTCAGTCCATGTCAGTTCTGCCTGCCAAAAACTCCCCTCTGAGTGGGAGCCAGTCATCTGGGCTGAATGTGGAGGCCTCCGAAGGTCAGAGCCTTTATTGTTGTTTTTTCTAAACTTGCATCATTGCATACTAACTTCTCCATGTGCTTTCAGGTAAAAAGAAGTTCAAGTTCTCGATGCATAAACGCTCTGGTAGCTCAAGCAACAAAAATGTGCTCTCTGGTAGTCAAAAGCAAACTCCTGCAGAGCAGAGCAACCTGTGCATCAACGGGAGTCACGTTTACTGTGAAGAACCGCTGCCCCGAACGTCCCGCATCGGCTCCAATTTCAGCCTGGCGAGTTCAGGTCACGGGTCGATGGAGGACGTTCCCGAAAGCTCTCCGCCTTCTGGAGATTCACTCGAAGCAGTGAAGGAGTACTCTCCATGGATGGAGGAGGGAGAGGAGGATGAAGGTGAAGATCAACATGGAAGGGATGGTGTGGATGAGTCAAATGAGGAAGAGGAAGAAATGATTAAAATGGAAGAGAAGAGGAGAGAAGAGGAGGCGTTAAGGAGACAACAAGAGGAGATGGAGAGGTTGGCTGAAGAGAAGCTCAGACGAGAGGAAGAGGAAAGAATAAAAATTCAAAGAGAAGAAGAGAGGAAAAGAGAGGAAGAGAAGAAAAGGGAAAAGGAGCTGGAGAACATGAGAAGACGAGAAGAAGAGAGAGCGGCTGAGGAAGAGAGGGTTAAAAGGGAGGAAGAAGAGAGAATTCGGGAAGAGAAGTTGAAACAAGAGGAGGAGAGACAGAAAAGGGACAAAGAGCAGAAAATACTGGAACAAAAGATGAGACTTGAGAAAGAAAGAGAACTTCAAGAAGAAATGATTAGGAGGGAGGAAGAGAAGGCTCTAGAGAAGAAGAGGCAAGAAGAAGAGTACAAGTTAGCGGAGGAAAATAGATTGAAAGAAGAAAGTATTAGAAGGGAGGAAGAAAGGGCTGAGGAGGAGAGAAGGCAACAAGAGGAGCTTATGAAAAAACTGGAGGAAGAGAAGGCAAGGAGAGAAAGGGAAGAATATGAGAGGTTAGAAGAAAGGAGAATGGAAGAAGAAAAAATTAGACAGGTGGAGAAGGAAAGGATAGAGGAAGAGAAAAGAACAAGAGAGCGGGAGGAGAGGAGGAAAAAAGAGGAAGAGATGCTGAGAAGGCAAGAGCTACAGAGATTAGCAGAGGAGAAGTTGAGACAAGAGGAAGAAGAAAGAAGGGTTAAAGCGGAGAAGGCAGAAAGGGAGGCAGAGGAGGAACTGAGACGAGAGGAAGAGGAGAGAATTAAAAAGGAACAGATTAAGAGAGATGAGGAGAAAAGGAGAGAGGAGGAAGAGGAGATAATTAAAAAGAAACAGATAAAGAGAGATGAGGAGAAAAGGAGAGAGGAGGAGGAGGAAGAGGAGAGGGCAAGAAAGGAAAAGGAAGAAAACGAAAGAGCAGAGGAGATGAGACGTAAGGAAGAGGAAAAAAGGAGAAAGGAGGAAGAGGAAAGGATTAAGATGGAGAGAGCTGAAAGAGAAAGGATAGAGGAATCAAGGAAGCTGGAGAAGGAAATAAAAATAGATCAAGAACAAAGAGCTGCAGAGAAAACATCCCAAAAACCCAAACCTGCAGAGATCGCCTCCAACCAGTTTGAGGACTTCTCTCCTCCTGAACCTCACGGCCTCACGGATAAAGATGAAACTGTTCTGAGGTCAGTTCAGGTCACATGTATCCACACGCCCGCGGTAAAACTGAGATTTTAGTAAATTGTGGCCTTTGCCCTCTTGCAATTTAACCTTCCCCTCACCCCCATAACCTTAACCCACTTGTGCATGCAAAGTTGTGTTTCTTGTTGTATCTTTCCTTTCAAACACGGTTAATGGGAAATTTGGAAAAAGAAACTGGGTTAAAGTTAGGGTGGGGGTGAGGTAAAATCGCTACAGGTTAGAGGTTAATTGTTAGTGAAATATCCGTTTTACTATGGGTATCTGAAAGCGACGCTCTGGCACAGCGCGTCACTTTCCTGTGCGTTGAGAGCCCCTGTGTGTCAGGAGGCAACGCTTGGTCACCCTTTGTCAGTTTCAGCCGCTTCTGGTGTGAGAATGTGATCCACTAGATCCACTAGATAGGGCTGCACGATATTAGGAAAACCTGCGATATTCGATAACAGTGCTTAATATTGCAATATCGATATTACTCACGATAAATGAACAAATACTAAAGTATGCAGTGTTGATGTCGTCTGGCGTGTGACGTCTGCTCTCGGTTCAAAGCAAACAAAAACTAATGCATGAATTCCATTACAACATAACATTTTTATTGCAAAAATATGCAGCTGCACCTGCTACTGTATTAGCAGCAAAACAACAAACTGCATGTATGCAGTTTCTCAGTGACTTTAAAACATCAGCACCACCATAAAACTTTTTCTGATGCCCCAAACACAGAAAAACATCCCTTACTAGGGTTTTTAGAATAAATAGTTTAAATGTTAAATAATAGTTAACATCACTTAAATGCAACAGCAAATTCTCTCATTGCTACTGAGCATTTTCTCCACTTATGTGGTTATGATATAAGGCTATTGCTGCAATTGGGAAGTGAACTGTGCTGGGCCAAACTAGGAGAATATTAAGATTTTCTGAGGGAAAGAGAAAAACAATTGTCTACATTTCAGAAGAGGAACTGGCAAAAAAAAAAAACTACATGGAAAATATGTGAAAACGTTTGTTTTTAACCCCAAATTGAACAAGTTTACCTAGATCCTAAAAAGCAGCTCAGATGATGAAACTGCAACTATGATTCTGATAACAAGCTAACAAATTGAAGTAGCTCCTCTTAAGATAACTGGCTAGCAGAGCTTCTGACTGACAGTTTATGTGCAGCAGCAAATCAACTATCCTGATTAACAAGGTTATAAAAGCTCATAAATGAAAAATCACTTTGATGTGTGGGGGAACTTTTCCAGGCCCTCTTTAGCAGGGTGGGACTGGGAGGAGAGTGCTGTAGCCTTTTAGCTGGAAGCTAACCGGAGCCTGGGGCTAACGGTGGGTTGGTTCACCGGCACGTGTTGGAGTCAGCCCGGTTATTATCAGCTGCTTAACGACACCGAGCGGACTCACGTCCATGTTTGAAAGCAGCGCTGATTCCAGAAACCTCAGCACAAAGTGCGTTCGTTAATCTGAGCCAGCATGACGAACAAGGGAAGCGAGTGGCAGTGGAAAACGGAGCGGAGATGGTGGAATTTTGGGGTAAGGGTCTACGTAGGGGCGGGCGTATTACGTGAACGGACCCATCTGATTGGCCGCATATCAGAAGGGCTACATTTGATTGGTCAAATAATACTTCCGCGTAAAAAACAGAGCTGGTTTACAAAAAGTTGATGTATGACACGGATGGAAATGTTTGAACCAAACATTTATCACCGTTTTTGACATGCTTTTCGATGGGCCTATCGCACGTCCTGTTATTGCGATGACTGTAATTTTTCGATATATTGTGCAGCCCTAATAATTAATATTATTGACTCGTAATATTAATATACATTTTACTTTGAAATTTGAACCAATCTCTTCCACATTATGGAAGTTTCCCACAAAATGTACAGATGCTAACGTTTTTCAGGACCGCACAAAAAGATCTTTTTAAAATAAACAACTAAAAATATGGAACAGCAGTTCTACTCCAAGCCCCTCCCAGATGTCGGAGTTTCTCAGGTTATAGCAGCTTGGGTGGGTGGGCATGGCCAGCTCCAGTTTGTTTTCTTAAAATAAGAGTCCTGAAATGGCTCATTCTGGAAGGTACTGAAAATGTCGAGAATAAAACAGCTGAAACTGCTTCATGTGTGGGGATTTAGTGCAAAGAACTTCATAAACCTTTTTGTGTCGACTCTGAACCTATTATAACTTAAAGTAGCGTCCCAGAGTTTTCCCCTTTCAGAAATGATGTATGATTTTTCAGAAATCCCAAAGTGATTGTCTCTATGTACTGTGATGTAATATAAGCAATACGTCTTTATTTATTTATTTTGCTAAGCACGCCCCCTGCCCCACAGAGCTCCGTGCAATAGGAAACTAAGCGCCGACCAGAACTAACCAAAAGCGTTAGACTACTGCTTACCTGCTTTAAATTTAACCTCGGCTGATGCAGAGTTGGATTTTTCACGGACAAGATGGTCTTTAAAATATAAATATATGAAAACACAACATGACATGAGTATGTTTTAACTCTGTCAGCTGCATAAGCACATTTATAAACAGAAACTTGAAATCGCCATCTAACAAAACAAAACAAAAAACAGCTCTAGAGATTATTTGTTATGGTTGTCAGCCACTAGATGGTGCCATTGGATAAAAGAATTACTCTGGAAAGAGAATTAAAGTCTTTCTGGAGTATTTCTCTTTTTCGATAGCACCATCTAGTGGTTGACAAGCATATGAAACAAATAATCTCTCGCTCTGTTTTTAAGATGGAACTTTCACGTTTCTTGTTAACTGGCTTATGTAGCTGACAAACGGAGCCAAAGCACGTTGTTTCACAAGTATTCTTATGTCATGTTGTGTTTTCACATATTTATATTTTACAAACTTACTTGTCCGTAAAAAGTTCATCAACTCTGCATCAGCCGAGCGAGGTATCCCTTAAATTTAAAGCAGGTAAGCGGTAGTCTAACACTATCTGGTCGGCGCTCAGTTTCCTATTGCACGGAGCTCTGCGGGGCAGGGCGTGTGCTTGGCAAAAACAATAAAATAAAATAACGTTTCCTGTAAGTAATCCAGCAGTGTCGAACACTGAAAACATTTTCCAATGATTATTTCTGATTATAATCAGTCACTGAGTTTTTCATGCAGGCTGAACATGAAAATAGTCTCCTACACCCATCTCCTGCATGGACTCACCCATCTTGACTTGCGACGAGCAAGGCTGATGCAGACAATGTCCCAACTAGTAGAAGCTAACCATTAGCATTAGCAACACCACCACAGAAAGACTCCTCCAGGCTTGAGTTATTTGTGGAGAAGAAACATCAATGTTGAAAGTCAGTGACAGTCGCGTTGTAGTTATCCTAGTCGAGGCAAATCTCAGGAAATAAGACTCCTAATCCTGTTCTGCCACTCTGAAGCAGCAGACTGTAGCGTCTCCGTACTGATGCAGGCGTTGCTGGGTTTTTTTGCCCCGAGTACAGCTTGCAAGGCATTCATTCCTGCTAAACTATTGATAGAACCTTTAAGAAAAAATGTTATTTGCTGCCTTTCAAGTGATGGAGACAGATTTTGTTTTTGCAGGAAAGTTTTTTGCTTTAAATCATTTCTCATTTTTCTTGTCACCTCATCAACCTTTGAAGAAGTCCTAGCAGCAAGAAGTGTTCCTGGGTCAGATTTCATTAAAGCCAACCTGCCTACATTATCTGCTACGAACCTGCAAATAAATTGTTACAGATAAATTTGAATGCTTAATGAAAAATATTAAGAAAGATTTACATGAAGAGTGTTATCTAAATGTTTTTAGGGCCGTTCCTCACCACTTCTCTCTGAAAGGTTGCAGAAATCTAACACCAGCATGAAAACTGCATGACTCAGTGCTTACGTGTCTGAGTGCAAACTGGACTCATTGTTCAGTCGTGCCTTGGAGTCTCAAGCTAACAAGTTGAAAAGAGAAGTTTTTATTGAAGATATTAAGGTTGTTTTGCCTTTTCAAAACAGATTCAAACAAACTGTGTCTCCTTTAAATGTGGCTCAAGTTTTTACTTCTTTTCAATATTTATTCCAGCTACTTTTTGATAAATCACAACTGAGGCTCTTCTTTTAGCTAGATTTATTTTCTTTCGACAGAATTCTCAACATCGCTTTGGAAAGCTTTTTAATTAAAAGCTGAAGTTTGCCCACCCGTCATGTAGTGTGTCTTCTTTCCAGATGTCAGCCGGAGGTGTCGTCAGCAAGGAGCGGCGCCGTTTCTGCTGATGAAACGGACCTGATTAAAACCCAGTGGGAAAAGAGACTGGCTCCTCAGCCTCCGGGAAGGAATCCATCAGAGACGCAGAGACAGAACGAGGACGATACACGACATCTGTCAGGAGTTAACAAGCAAAGTAAAGAAAAAGACATCAAAACTGTCAGCGTTCCTCCTCAGCGCTCGATGCAGATGATCACCCCGCTGAATAGGTCTCCCGAAGATGTAGAGAACGTCCCGAGTGAGCCGCAGAACAACCACGCTAAAGCAACCAAACACGGCAAACGTCCTGCTCCATCCAGACCTCCTCCTGGTGGAGACGAGCCGCCATCTAAACCTCGCAGAGATGTGTCGCAGACGAAACGAGTGGGAACTCCTCAGAGCTTAAACCCGTTTGAGGATGATGAGCTCACAGATGATGCAACGACTCACGGGCCTCCTGCTGGGTCACAAACTGCAAACAAAGACGATGCTTCTCAGGCAAAAATCAAATCCTCAAAGGTGGCTCGAGCTCCTGCACCTCCGGCTCTAAGTGAAGCTCAATATGATAAAGGCGACACACAGCCAAGGGTCAAAGGTCATGTGCAGGCCCAGGAGAGTTCATACAAGGAAACTGAGCAGAATGAGATGGTGGCAGGTGTGAAGGAGGAGGGGCCTCCTGTAAAGTCACGCAGGTAAGACCATTAATTGTGTTTACAGTCGGGGTAACGTTTATTAATGGACTAAAGTCCTCATGTCTTTATCACAAATGTTGTAAATGAAAATTTCTATAGACTCTGATGGTTGCGTGTTTGCAGAATTTCACAATAAAGGACTTTGTTTAGTTTGAGTTGCAGATTGCTGTACTCCCGCTGCATTTGTTTACCCCTCATCCCCCTAATTCTCAAAACCCACTTCCTGTAATCGCCTGTCATTGCAGACGTCTAACAGTAAAGCCTCTTAATCCTCTGGAGCAACAGCAGCCCACCTCACTTGTTCAGGAGGAAAATTGCAGATCCACTGGATCGGTCCACACTGGAGATCAGTGCAACTCAAAGGTACCTGCTTTCTTTATTTAAACTAAATTCTAGATGTAACCTTGTGCGCTGATGAAATGTCCGTCTGATCTGCTCCTTCAGGTCGAGGCAGTGATCACAGGTCCGTACTCTCAGCTGACTCAGGAGGAACTGATCTCCATGGTGCTGAAACAGGAGAAGCAGCTCTCCGAGAGGGAAAAAAAGATATCGGAGCTGGAGCGGTACATTGACAACCTGTTGGTGCGTGTCATCGAGGAGCAGCCGAGTATCCTCATGTCTTTGAGCTCTCTAAAGTAGGCTTCCCGAAGTAGATCTACAGCCCACACTTTAGTGGTCTGACGGTATTCACTACATTTTCTCATCAAAACTTCACTTTCAAACTCTGAACTCATCAGAAGAGGTCCGGAGTCTGTGAAGGAGTTTGGATGTTGAGATGGACGAATCTACAACCGAATCAAAGAGTAAAGATGAAAATGAATGACGATTGAGCTGCTTTTAGTTTAATAAATAACGTGATGGTCCTAAACTATCTGTATTTGTGAGTCCATGGCTTTATTGTGCAGCATAAAGTTGTCAAGCTTGTTATATTTGTATCTGAGGATTACGGTCAAACTTTGCACTCATACAATTTGATGTCAACTGTTGATTCTGATTCTAAAATGCACTTTAATCATTTTTCACTAATTACATGATGAACATGATTTTACTGTACTGACTTTACTGATTCAACTGCTTTATTTGTTTAATAAAATGAAATAAACTAATATGAGTTTTTTATGTTTAACACAAACATGCATTCCCTCTTTGAATGGCCAATTTTCTAGAGGAAACGCCATAAAATATGTTACTTTGCATCTGAAGGGTATCTTCAAAATGCGCAGATGTAAAATGCAAAACGTTAAAAAAAATCGGAAGTATAGATTTAGTCACTTTGTTTGGTATCTTAACATTAACAATAATACATTTTGTCATAAAACCTAACCTCATTCATCCATTTTTAGAAATGCTTAGCTCAAACCGGTGTTCAGGTTTAAAACAATTTTGCCTAAATGGAAAAACTAAAAATTCCCAGTTTCTCTTCATGGAGTTGAGACCTTTTCAAAAGAGCATAGTTTTTAAAACCTATTTTAGAACAAGTTCTGTTAAAGGTGCATTATGTAGAAATGAAGTCAAGTTGCATACTTTTGTAAAATTTGGTTAATGCAACCACAACTCTGGAGCTTTTTGCCGGTGTTCCAACTGGGCTGCATGGTGACGCAGTGGTTAGCACTGTTGCCTCGCAGCACGCAGGTTCAAAACTCGGCTGCGGCCTTTCTGCGTGGAGTTGCGCGTTCTTCCCATGCATGCGTGGGTTTCCTCCGGGTATCCGTTTTCCCCCACAGATCACAACATGCCCTATAGGTTATAAATTGTAAGTCTCTTTGGATAAAAGCGTCTGCTAAATAAATAAACATAAACTATCTACTCGTCAATATGTGGACCGATTTACATCGCAGGCTATTTACCTGAAGCGATGCGCTACCTCTGGAAGTTACAGTACAGCTTTTTGTATGTTTACCTGGCAGTTAGCTTGTAAATGGCTTGTAAAATATCGTTATTATACTGTAAAAAAATGTCTCTAATTGTTTACAGTCATTCACAGAATAGATAGATAGATAGATAGATATCCTTGTCATTAAATGATTGTCCATTCAACGGAATTTCCTAGCGCTTCACATTAGGTGTCACTAAAAATGCTAAAAAAAATAAAAATAAAAAAAATTGCTAAAACGAGCACAATACGCACCATGCAATAAAACAAAGACGGTACAAAATACAATAAATAGTATCAATGTGATTGATTTTTATGTCTATTCAGGGTTCTAACAGCCCAGGGAAAGAAACTGTTCCTCAGTCTGTTGGTCCTGCAGCTGAGGGATCTGAACCTTTACCCAGAGGGCAGCATGGCAACAAGGTAGTGGTTTGGGTGGTAAATGTCCCTGGAGATGGTCCTTGCTCTAGTGAGACACCTCTGCAAGGCGATGGTGTCCAATGAGGGGAGGGTGCATCCAATCACCTTTTCCGCCACTCTGATGGCCTTCTGGTATCTGTTTTTGTCAGCTACTTTGCACCCCGCGTACCACACAGGGATAGCGTAAGTCATCACGACAAACGCTGTATATTTTTGCTAATTATACTACAGTTCTGTGTTCTTAAGTAATATCACCTATTTAAAATAAACCACGCTTAATAAGCCTGTTACTATACTGTAAACAATAGCAAAACTGTCGTTACATGCTGGGGTAGGAATATTCGACGAGGAAGCATGGATGGTCAGAACACCGGCCGTCATCAAACAAAAAATAATGGCCGCTGCAGTATTAGATTGCAGGAGACAGACACGCTCACTGATGGTAAGCAGTAGTGACGTCCCTCTTTACTTTGTTTTGAATGGGAAAAAACCCGACAATCCCCGCAGCCAGCTGGATATGAAATATGTTTCAGTATAACCTTCCTTCCAAAAGAACTAAAACATCCTTCTGGAATTTTCTCGCTGTAAAATTCTCACTATAGTCTTACATACTGCACCTTTTAAATATACATGTCCTTCTCAAAAATTATCTAATTGTGATAAAGTTCATTATTTTCTGTACTGATAAACATTAGACTTTCATATATATTAGATTCATTACACACATCTGAAGTAGTTCAAGTCTTTTATTGTTTCTAATATTGATGATTTTGGCATACAGCTCATGAAAACCCAAAACTCCTATCTCAAAAAATTAGCATATTTCATCCGACCAATAAAAGAAAAGTGTTTTAATACAAAAAAAGTCAACCTTCAAATAATTATGTTATGCACTCAATACTTGGTGGGAATCCTTTTGCAGAAATGACTGCTTCAATGCGGCGTGGCATGGAGGCAATCAGCCTGTGGCACTGCTGAGGTGTTATGGAGGCCCAGGAGGCTTCGATAGCGGCCTTAAGCTCATCCAGAGTGTTGGGTCTAGCGTCTCTCAACTTTCTCTTCACAATATCCCAAAGATTCTCTATGGGGTTCAGGTCAGGAGAGTTGGCAGGCCAATTGAGCACAGTAATACCATGGTCAGTAAACCATTTACCAGTGGTTTTGGCACTGTGAGCAGGTGCCAGGTTGTGCTGAAAAATGAAACCTTCATCTGCATTAAGCTTTTCAGCAGATGGAAGTTTGAAGTGCTCCAGAATCTCCTGATAGCTAGCTGCATTGACCCTGCCCTTGATAAAACACAGTGGACCAACACCAGCAGCTGACATGGCACCCCAGACCATCACTGACTGTGGGTACTTGACTCTGGACTTCAGTCATTTTGGCATTTCCCTCTGCCCAGTCTTCCTCCAGACTCTGGCACCGTGATTTCCGAATTACATGCAAAATTTGCTTTCATCAGAAAAAAGTACTTTGGACCACTGAGCAACAGTCCAGTGCTGCTTCTCTGTAGCCCAGGTCAGGCGCTTCTGCCGCTGTTTCTGGTTCAAAAGTGACTTGACCTGGGGAATGCGGCACCTGTAGCCCATTTCCTGCACACGCCTGTACACGGTGGCTCTGGATGTTTCTACTCCAGACTCAGTCCACTGCTTCCGCAGTTCCCCCAACGTCTGGAATCGGTCTCCACAATTTTCCTCAGGGTCCGGTCACCTCGTTGTGCAGCGTTTTCTGCCACACTTTTTCCTTCCCACAGACTTCCCACTGAGGTGCCTTGATACAGCACTCTGGGAACAGCCTATTTGTTCAGAAAGTTCTTTCTGTGTTTTACCCTCTTGCTTGAGGGTGTCAATGATGGCCTTCTGGACAGCAGTCAGGTCGGCTGTCTTACCCATGATTGCGGTTGTGAGTAATGAACCAGGCTGGGAGTTTTTAAAAACCTCAGGAATCTTTTGCAGGTGTTTAGAGTTAATTAGCTGCTCAGATGATTAGGTTAGAAGCTCGTTTAGAGAACCTTTTTATGATATGCTAATTTTTTTTAGATAGGAATTTAGGGTTTTCATGAGCTGTATGCCAAAATCATCAATATTAGAAACAATAAAAGGCTTGAACTACTTCAGTTGTGTGTAATGAATATAATATATATGAAAGTCTAATGTTTATCAGTACATTACAGAAAATAATGAACTTGATCACAATATGCTAATTTTTGAGAAGGACCTGTACACATGATCTACCGTGCCTCGTGTTCTAATAAACAATATCGTGAGCCAAAGTAGCAAAAACATACTAAAATGTGTAGTCTGGTGAGTTTATCTCTGAATGAAAAAAGAAGCAACTGCATAGGATGCATACAAACTATAGGGATTTGTGAAGGATAATATCACAAAAATGTTACTTCAGAACACCATCCTGGTGAGTTTCTGGTATAACTGTAGGCTAAGTTATTCATAAAAGTACAACTTATATTAATTAGAAGAGGAGACGAGCTTTTGCTGCACCAGCCCAAAAGCTTTATGCTTTTAAAAGACTGTCAGTTACGTCAGAGCGTTTATAATTCTGATTTTTAACGACCCTTTCACAAACGCAACCCAGATTTTTTATAGTAAATTTAAACTTTTTTTAATTATATATTTGTTGATAGTTTATAGTCTGTTTTCAAAGTTAAACAGCGGAACAGTGAAAATCCGTTGTATCTACCCGGACACGTTTTTATTGCCCACTTGAGACCAGCTAGGTTCGTTGATTGGACGTTGTGGTTCCTGCTGTTGTTGTTCGGTAATTACTATGCAGCGGTCGGGTTTGAGCTGTCCGGGCTGCGGCTCCTCCAACATTGTAAACGATGATCTTTACTGCCATGTCCAGCTGGTGTGCGTGGACTGCGGCACGGTGGTGTCGGAGGGCTCTCTGGCCGACGACCCAGTCGGAGGTTCAGGTAAGACGGAGGGTACATGGCGGAGACCTGTTGTTCTGTCTGGTTGGATGTCAAGACAGAATATGTTGTTATTGGAATAGTTTAACTCCATCTATACTATCAGCTAGAAAATAGGAAATACATCTTCGAAAATAAAATACTCAAGAATATGGAAACAAAGAAGGCGAGCTCAATCGATCAGGCATGTGTAATGGAGTACCGATTGTTAAATTCAAGTTGCTATGCTACAGGTGCTGGCCAGTAAATTAGAATATCATCAAAAGGTTGAAAATATTTCAGTAATTCCATTCAAAACGTGAAACTTGTACATTATATTCATGCAATGCACACAGACCAATGTATTTCCAATGTTCATTACATTTAAATTTGATATTCATAAGTGACAACTAATGAAAACTCCAAATTTGGTATCTCAAAAAATTAGAATATTCTGAAAAGGCTGAATATAGAAGACACCTGCTGCCACTCTAATCAGCTGATTTACTCAAAACACCTGCAAAGGCCTTTAAAAGGTCCCTCAGTCTTGTTTTGAAGGCACCACAATCATGGGGAAGACTTCTGACTTAACAGCTGTCCAAAAGACAATCATTGACACCTTGCACAAGGAGGGCAAGACACAAAAGGTGATTGCTAAAGAAGCTGGCTGTTCGCAGAGCTCTGTGTCCAAGCACATTAACAGACAGGCGAAGGGACGGAAAAAATGTGGTAGAAAAAAGTGTACAAGCTCTAGGGATAACCGCACCCTGCAGAGAATTGTGACGACAAACCCATTCAAAAATGTGGGGGAGATCCACAAAGAGTGGACTGCAGCTGGAGTCAGCGCTTCAAGAACCACCACGAGGAGACTCATGAAAGACATGGGATTCAGGTGTCGCATTCCGTGTGTCAAGCCACTCTTGAACAAGAAACAGCGCAAGAAGCGTCTCGCCTGGGCCAAGGACAAAAAGGACTGGACTGATGCTGAGTGGTCCAAAGTTATGTTTTCTGATGAAAGCAAGTTCTGCATTTCCTTTGGAAATCAAGGACCCAGAGTCTGGAGGAAGAGCGGAGAAGCACAGAATCCACGTTGCATGAGGTCCAGTGTAAAGTTTCCACCGTCAGTGATGGTGTGGGGTGCCATGTCATCTGCCGGTGTTGGCCCACTCTGTTTCCTGAGGTCCAGGGTCAATGCAGCCGTCTACCAGGAAGTTTTAGAGCACTTCATGCTTCCTGCTGCTGACCAACTTTATGGGGATGCAGACTTCACCTTTCAACAGGACTTGGCACCTGCACACAGTGCCAAAACCACCAGCACCTGGTTCAAGGACCATGGTATCCCTGTCCTTGATTGGCCAGCAAACTCGCCTGACCTTAACCCCATAGAAAATCTATGGGGTATTGTGAAGCGGAGGATGCAATACGCTAGACCCAACAATGCAGAGGAGCTGAAGACGACTATCAGAGCAACCTGGGCTCTCATAACACCTGAGCAGTGCCACAGACTGATCGAGTCCATGCCACGCCGCATTACTGCAGTTATTGAGGCAAAAGGAGCCCCGACTAAGTATTGAGTGCTATACATGCACATTCTTTTCATGTTCATTCTTTTCAGTTGGCCAACATTAGAGAAACAAACATTTTTTCATTGGCCTTTAGAATATTCTAATTTTCTGAGATACCAGATTTGATGTTTTCATTGGTTGTCACCTATAAATATCAAATTTAAATGTAATGAACATTGGAAATACATTGGTCTGTGTGCATTGCATGAATATAATGTACAAGTTTCACGTTTTGAATGGAATTACTGAAATATTTTCAACCTTTTGATGATATTCTAATTTACTGGCCAGCACCTGTATAATTTACTGGCCTGGCATAAAATAGACTTTAATAATCCCACAGTGGGGAAATGTACTCATTACAGCACCACATAAACTTACAGAAAAGAAAGACGAAAGATGAGATTACACACAAATAAAGAAAAGAAAGAAACGTGATTTCCAGAACTATGCAGCATAAGGGACACATACAAGGACACAGATATACTAATGTACATATGGTATTGCACAAATATTGAACATACTTAGTATTGCAAAAGACATTAGAAATTGAGAGAGGAAAAAATTACATAAGAACACTACATTAATTAAATCAGCAATATTTTACATTCTGTCCTAGGGCTGGGCGATATAGCCTAAAATCAATATCACGATATATTGAGGATTTCACCTCGATAACGATAAATGGACGATAACTACAGGTATGTGCAGAAACAAAAGTTGCCCACTAGATGGGGCTGTCACATGTATTACGTTGAGTCACATATTTACGTGACTCAGGGTGGTAAAGCTTCTTAAAGGGACATGAACGTTGCCAACCTACACACATCTTTTCATTGTTTTTGTTATCAAATGTATTGACATGGGAAACATCCTGATAAGTGTCAGAAATGTCGATAACGATACATTTTTGATTTATTGCCCAGTCCTACTCTGTCCTAATTCCCCCAGATGGATAATAATTCAAAAAGTCAGAGATTTGCTTTGCTTTTTATCTTTGTGTGGACATTTAGGAGTCAGTCATTCACACAAAATTTTAATTTCCACTACTAATGTGGTGAAACGTGTGTTTTAAAAATGTAATAGTAATACAGAGTTTCATCTTTTTGCTGAAAAGCAGCTGTTTTTTATCTTTCTGGTTCTCCGTGCATTTTAATATATTTTTTGCATTCTGCAGAAAATACACATTAGAAAAACAGTTTCACCTACAAGTATTAATTCACTTAAAATTTCTACAACAGGCTTTTATATCCTTAGTTGAAATTTTTTTCACATTTCTCTCAAATTTATATAACTTTGTTGTGCTTAAAACACTGAATGATGTTCATAGGATGATGAAAACACATGCTTTGACATGTCTGCAGGCACAAACCACTAAACCTGATAAATGATTCCATACTGCTGCATCTGCATGACTTGAATCTATAAAAATGGTTTTAAAATCTGCATCATGAGGAGTCCAACTTTGTCTTTGTAAGCCGTCGGGTTGTTTGGCTGTAGAGGGAATTAACCACGGGGTTATATTTGAGTTCATCTCCTATCAATTACATCATTATATTAAATATTCTGAGTAAACATGGGAATGATGGGAAACTAGGATCAGTTAAATGCTTAACTCGGACTTGAAGCTTCTAGTTCACATTTAACACAACAAGCATAACTATATAAATTAGGGCTTGCAAAATGTCCATTTGCTAATTTTGTGTCTTTTTTTTTCTTGTTTTTCTTAACAGATGTCAGCTACAGCCGATCCACCGCTGTGACAAAGGTTCCATGTCAAAACCTGAAAAAAGGTGAGATCTTTCGCCCCATATGGAGAAATGTGATCTTTTTTGTTCTTGTGTTCGGTTCCCTCCATATTTAATGACCGTGTTTTATATTGTGACACGGTTTTCAGATTTTAAAAGCTAGGAAATAATTTTGTTTGTGCAAAATATACAAAATCTTGGTTTTCTATTTATTTATTCAATAAATAGAACAAACTTTGACTGTCCAACAAACTGCTCCCAGTAGTTGGTGCAGTAGTAAATGAAGTAGACTTTTTGCTAAGTTGTCTGTTAATTTCCTGTTTCATGTTTGATGACCTGAGGATATTAAAGGTGTGGATCACTTGTTTAATCAGTACATTTTTAGTGGGTTCCTGTAGGAATGAATGCCTTGTAAGTTGTACTCTGGGGAACAAAAGCTCCAGTGCACCCGTTTCAGGAAGTAGAAGATTGCCACATCAGAGCTGAGCTGCAAACAGCAGGATCAGAGTCTTATTTCCTGATATTTGGACATCTCTCCTCTGATTGGCTAACACGACTCTACCACTGACTCAGTTTGCTTTCCAACATGATGGTTTCCCTCCGCAAATAACACAAGCCTGGAGGAGCTCTGCCATGTTGTGGAGTTGCTAACAGTTAGCTTCTACTAGCCGAGGCATTCTCTGATGTTTCCTGAATGCTAAACCAACATTATGAAGAACTCAGAGCGACCAATTATAATCAGGAATAAGATTAGAAAATGTTTTTTTTGGCATTCCACATCTTTAAACTAATAAACTTCTATGAAACATGAGAATAAAAGAAGCAAACTCTAAATCTGTCTGTTGAGATGATTGAAGAAGGGTTGGATGAAAAAGCTTTAAGTTACCTGGATGTCTTTTTTTTCTCCAGGTCTGAGCCGTGTGAAGGAGATGTGTCGGGTTATCAGGGTGCGCAGGAATATCGAAGATCTGGCGTTGTCGTATTTCCAGCAGGCCTACGAGCACGAGAACTTCATCAGAGTCAACCTCACAAAGAAGGAGGTTCTGGCTGGCTGCTGCGTGCTTGTCAGCTGCAGACAGATGAACTGGCCCATCACCATAGGAACCATCAGCTGCCTGCTAAATGCTGACCCCGCTTTAGTGGGAGGAGTTTATAAAGATCTGTTGAAGATCCTGAAGCTCGAGGCTCTGACTGTCGGTATCATTGAGGTGTTGGAGGCTCATTGTCAGGAGTAAGTCGTGTTCTTATGTTACCACCACTGAGTTATACTCTAGATTAGAGCCCTGCACTGAAGCCCTAGGCCCTCGGGTCGGCCCGGCCCGACGGCCCGAGGGCCGGGCTTCGGGCCAACGACTGTGTAATTACCTCGGACACGGGCCAGGCCGGGCGCCTTTATTTTTATTCGAAATCATTAAAAAAATTAAAACACTTAAACGCAGCAGTAGAGCCCTGCGCGGGACTGTTTTCTTCCTCCCGCTCCGCTCCCGCTGAATTTCTGACCATTACAGCCTGCAACCACAACGTGTGTGTTACACTCCCGCCCGCACCTGCAGCGTGCATGTCTACTCCCGCCCGCAACCGCAAAACTCGGAGAAATTATTACCTCACAATAAAAGAGATGTATTGAGTTTGCGTCCTCAACATGTCATTTTATAGGTTATCCGCTTTCACCGCAGCGCTGCGCTCCGTTTCAATCAGGCTGTACAGCAGGATTTCCCCTCGTAGCGATATTTTTTCTAACTCTGATTGCTTCATGCTATAGACCGTTGGAAAGCTGCTTTTATGTACTTTTAGGAACTGTTGGAATTATTTGAATCTGATCAACCATTCAAAAGTTATAAAACGGAGCATTTTGGATGACAAACTCGCACGTCTCTGAATCTGTGTTGTGGTTTGTTGCGCTCAAGACAGGGAATCCCGGTGGATACCGTAATGTATTGTATGTGCACGGAAAGCCCCATTTTTAATCTTTTCAGCACTTTTGGAATTTTAATGATATCTTGAACTAGAGCAGGGATCGGCAACCCGTGGCTCTTCCATCCATCTGCCGCTCTCTGTGCTTGTACAATAATGAATGGATATTTAAATAAAATGCTTTATATTTTACTGAATTAATTTTATATCTGTAAGTCAATTCTATGTGAAGATAGTCTGCGAAAACCTGAACAGGTCCAACCCAGTCTTACTGTGAGACCGGGTTGGGTCACGCTTGTGCGTAATCATATGCGCTCATGAGCTGAAGAGGATGTGAGATTCTGGGATTCTCCTCAGACGGCTCCTGGATGTGTCGCACATTGGAGACAGGAACAAGCGCTATTCAGCCAAAGTTTCATAATCAGGGAACATTTTCTAAGTGACAAGTCTCTCTGAGAGACAGGGTTTGGAAAACACTCGCTTCAGTGGGAGGAAGCTTCCCGCATGCGCTTCTGCGACGCTCGGATCCTGCACGTCTTTTAACACATTGGTCAGGATTGACGCACTTTGTTTTCATTTAGTTGGTTAAAAAAAAGTCGGGCTTGGGCTCGGGCCGGGCCAGAGAATCCTGAAAACCTTTTCGGGCCGGGTCGGGCTGGGGCTCCACCCCCTCGGGCCGGGCCGGACACGGGCTCAGATTTTAGGCCCGTGCAGGGCTCTACTCTAGATCGGTGTTATTGGTTGTTTAGTATTATTTCATGTGGTGGGAGTGGCTGAGTGTTTTCCCTTAAGCCCCATGTTTTATTCTCTCTGGCCTGCAGGCCTGTTTGGATCTGCTTTGCTCTTTGATGAAATTCTCAGTCCAGTCTCACTGAAGTTATTTAGTTATGTTTTTATCTTTGAGCTTCTTCTGATTATGAACCTGTTGGGTTTCTAAATTATTCACTCAGATGTTTTGATTTAGTTCTTTTGCATTCTGAACAGAAGCCAAACTGAGTCTTTTTTGTTTGACAGATACAAAATAAACTCGGATCAAGTGCCTGAGGAATTAGCAGAAGATTGTACAGTTCTGACCAAAAGAGCCAAGGCTCTGGTGGAGCTGGCAGCAGACTCCTGGATTGTGACTGGTCGGAAGCCTTTACCCATGCTGATGGCGGCCACTTACCTGGCCTGGCAGTCCCTGAAGCCCAACAAGCATCGTCTCAAACTCTCCCTGGACAAATTCTGTCGGCTGGCCAAGGTTCAAAAGTCCCAATCTGCTCTGACTAGAATAACGGAGCTGAAGGAGGTGCTGTGTAAGCTAGGAAGGGAAATTCCGTGGGTAAGGGAAACTGTGACACCAGATAGCGTCATTCGGCTGGTGGGGGACATTTTGGAGAACAGGTTCGCTCTGCTAAGGAGGGCTCTTAGAAACCACGAAGACTCTCTGCAGGCTGAAAACGTTGTGAACTCTCCAAACAAGGAGACGGCTTCCTCCAAACCGCAGGAGCTGACTGAGAATCCACCTGCGGAAGACCGTGGTCACCAGGGCCAGGAATCAGAATCAAACTGGGGGAAAAGAGTTCTGTTCGCTCCTCCGTGTGTGATTAACAGAAAGAGACGGAGAACGGAGCAGCCAGAGCTGATTGTAACCGGCGACGAGGAAATCTCTGACAGTGAAATTGATTCTTATATCCGTTCTCCACAAGAAGTACGAGACTTGGTTCAAGCAGAGAAGATGTTGGTTTCGTCTGACAAGGTATAAGGAGAGCAGCGATGCACTGAAGCATGTTTGTTTGTGTGTTTACTCAAAATTCTGTTTGTTGATGGCAGATTATCCTTTTTTTTATCTCCAAATGCAAATAAACATGTAATCTTTACCCAAACTTGAAGGTTTTTTTTTAGATCTTAATGTATCAAATGTTTTCTTGTAATTTTTTGCCGTGGTTTATTTATGATTGATGTCTTTATTGGTTTTTCGCTGCTTCACCAGAGTATATCATCTTATTGAGTTCCTGATGTGTTACAAATATGGAAAATATGCTAATGACTAAATTGTAAAAAAAAATTTATTTTGTTTTACTAAGAAATTTAAATGCATATTTTTCTATTTCAATCTTCTCTTATAATCTGCACAGATTGAGTCTTCAGCAAGATTTAGAATGAAGCAAATCTCCATTTCAGATTTAGGGCTTATTTCTAAGAGGCCGTTAACACAATTTAATTAGTTGCCAAAAGGTTGTTTTTTTTATGTGTTTAGCATGTTTGATGCAGCTTTTGGTTTACAGTGAACTGGATGTTTTTATTTTTTATTTTTTTTTACAAACATTTTCATTACATGAACATAAAAAGAACAAGTGTTTTTTTTTTCTTTTTTAAAGCGTATCTAGACTGCATTCATGTCTTCTGATATGTTAATTTTTTCACAAGACCAAAAATTGTGAATAAAAAACCCAAAATTCAGTCAACCCTGTTCTCACAGGTGTGATTAAAGTTCTGTGAGAAAACTGTTTTACAGAATCAGTTCTTAACAATAAAAACGTTCATTTACAAGCACCGTGAATATAATGTTACTCTGTATTCATGATGGGATTACAGCTGCAGGTTTGGTGATCTGTTCAGATTGGGAACAGGTTTAAAAACAAAAAATATATACATGTTTTTTTTTCAAAAAAATTTTTATGGCAAACACATTTTAAATTCCTCTGCCATGTTTCTTGTTACCCCTCCCCTTCACACATTTTACATCAGAGTCGGGGTGTAACAGTGACAAAAGACAAAATAACAAGAATATCCCAAAAGTATTGTCCCAGGCTTCTCAAAGGTTGAATATGGAACACGGACACTCTGGTGTTCAGAGGTGGTATTGCAACAACAGAACACATTTTCTAGCTGTCGGGATGTTGGTTCACCGCTGACACGTTCAAGCACTGTTCAGAAACAAATCGTACAGGTTAAGGACTCATTTCTACTAATAAGTTTATTTTACAACAGTATTTACTGTTAGAACATCTTCTGGGCTCAGAATCAGCTGCTTGACTTGTCAAGTCTGCCATTTTACAAAGTCCCAGCCTCACCTTGCTGAGCGGACTTTGTAGCGCAATGGTGCCCTCTAGTGGCTGCTAGATATAAACATAAACCCAGTGTCGTGCCCATCTGAATAAAAATTAGATTTTTTTATTTTACGTATAGCTTTTAAAGGAAAAACCTGTACGTTCATTCTGCATACCTCTAAAAGCCCTGTGGCAGTATTATTTAAAAAAAATAGATTTTTTTAATTAAAACGTTCCAAATTCCGCCTTAACACAGTTCTTAAAGCTGTTACGGCAAATCTGTAAACAAGCTAAATTTTGAAGGCAAACATGCTCATGGGATACTCACCCCTCGGATTTCCTTCCTGAGACATTTCTGCCATAACCGGGAATGTGCCGGGCGAAAAAAATAGTGCTAAATACCAGTCGCCAAGCATTTTCGAGGTCCAAACATCTTTTGTTGTCCGTGACTTCAAATGGTGTTTTTCTTTTTGGGACTCTTGTCCTGAAGTGGTGTTTCTTCCTCTCTGAAGAGAACCTCTCACACCAGCGGTGTTCTGTTGCTAAATACGTGAGTGAGTAATGAATGGAGGACCCAGGGAAGCGTGGCGGTTTGGCAAGATTGACAAGTTGATCCTCCAATGGTTGCATTCAGTCTGAAACGTGTTATTGCGAGAGAATCACTTTATTAAATGTTTAAATTTTTTATCACAATATATTTCTAGCTATACTATATTAGAACGTTCAGCTAATTTGTTAAAGCAGCTTTAGTGATTAATTTTGAGAGAGGAAAACCAGTCTTCTAATCCGAAATAGCAGAAAAGACATTGCGAACAGTGTTAAGGACTGAATGCTTTTGAATTACACACCATAATACACAACACACACGTGATCCACTTTAGAGCTGGTCTTTATCTGAATATTTCTTAAACATTCAAAGTCCGATAAATTAAAATAATAGTAGACGTATTTATTGATCAACTACATAATATACATTTTATCATTTTACAATTTTAAAATAGTCCCTTTTGCTTGTAGGACTTAGATCTTCTACCAGGGGCTTGGAGACACAGGGAGCCTGTCTCCTCCCTTTGGTGAGACGAACATTTGTAGTCCTATATGTCTTTTCACACAAAACCTAAAATAACTTTTGACGCTGTTTGAAAATAAGCACTTTCTTGTCATCAGTATGTGTCTGTAAAATTAATGGACATCGCATGTGAGATCCATGGCACATATCAAACAGAATTGGAAAAGAGCTTTTTTAGCCTAATTGACTTGCATTCATTTTTTCTTGTTTCTGGGGACCCATGAGCCAGAAGAATGGGCGGGAAATAAATTCCCTATAGGATTAAAATAAGACATTTACTGATTAAATTAATTAATAGACATCGTTGGATTGTTTATGATGTTTTAGAGTGAAAGTGACAAATCCTGGTGCATTATACACAGCATTGCTTCCCAATCTGGGGTTCGTGCCCCCAACACGGTCCCTTCAATTTCATCTGCGTCGAGGTAGTGAGGTTACTAAGATTATATCTGTAAAAATTACATTTAATGCTACATGTCAGTATAAAGTTTGTAATGAATCACCACGTTTTATTGTTTAGTAGGAGTTGGTGTTAGGGGGTCCTGGCTTGTCTTGAACACAGGAAAAGGGGTGCTGAAGGAATAAAGGTTGGGAACCACTGATAAACAGGATTGGAGTTTTAGTTTCTTACAGAAACAAAACATTTTATTTTCTAGATAGCTGCTTCTCCAAATGAAATACACTGCTTCTCTACCTTAAACGGTCCAAAATGAAAAACGTTTCTAACAAAACTCTAAACTTCATTAGGTTTTTGTTGCATTTCACTAACTTTCTGATAAGAAATGTCAGCCTAACAAACTCCACAGCTAATAAATCTCCCGTCATGTGGTGTCAATGTTGCAGAATAAACCCCATCCATCTGCAGGAAGACTGTTAGCGAGCACCAGCGCAAGCTGACGTGATTTACGAGATCAATAAATTATCACATCTCAGCATTCCAAACAAGTCTAATTGATGTGCAAATGCTTTTCTTTCCTCAGCATCTCATTAGTAGATCGAACCCGAGTTTACATTTACACACACACTGATCTGAGACAGGGTTTTGTTTTTACACCTGTGACTTTATTCACACACTAATTATATAGCATGCATCACATTAAATTATACAGTTTTTACTTATTAAAAGTGAACAAAAAGCATATTTTTCTAAGAATATCTCACTGATTTGTTTTATTTGCCTTTTTAAAACTGCCGAAGTTGTGAATCTTTGCAAGAAACAAATCTGTAAACGGATAAAAGGAATAAGGCAGCTGCAAGGTAACTTGACAGTTATTACAACCTTGTAGCTAATCTGTAATCACCTCTCCAGTATTAAAAAGATGATGAGTATTTAAATCTTTTCAGGACTAATTTGTCTCAGTGATTATTCATCGCAGCCAAATCAGCCACCAAACAACAGAGATCACAAAACAACACAGAGTCAACAACAACATGGCCGCTGGATTTTCCTCTAGCCCATTATAAACTTAAGCTATCAGACATGGTTTGATAACTTAATGTGGTATTTTTATCGACTACTGGATGAAATAAAATGAGTCTGGAGGGGACAGCTTCATAAATGTAACATTAAATTCTGTAACGTCACCAGGAAGTCACAACAATCGTGTTTGCAGCAAAGCAGAATTTAAAAAGACAGCTTTTCTGTATCCTGTTCAGTTGTTTTATTTTCATCCAGCACAATCTTTTTTTTTGGCCCTTTTAGTGATAACTTTCAGCTTTTCCTGAGCATTCTCAGAAAGCAAAGTTACAAACACTGATGTGTAGATTTACTGTTTATGTGTCTCATTTAGCAGTTTGAGGCTTTTTCTAGGACGGTGTTACTTTATACAGCTCACATGTCAGACTCAGTGCAATGGTAAAAACCACTCTGCTAAATGACACTTTCTAATTTATGAGTTAGGATGTAAAATTTCCATAGGTGACTGCTTTGATCATTTTGGCCACATCGAAACATAATGAGCAATAATATCTTTCTTGTGGTCCTCTTTGAACAACCTCAGGAACATTGAAGATCGGCTAATGGCTAGTCCCTGCATGGTTAAGATCATAGTGTTTTATTTTTTGTTTGTTTTTAAATAAGACCTATTAGGAATTTAAATAAAAAATAAAAATACTAGTTCTACATGTGACAGTGTGAGCATCCTGTCACGGTGACTCGATTGATCGTGCGCCCTGGCTACTTGGCCACGGGGATGTCCCTTGGGCTGACTGGTTAGCGTGCATGACTCTTACCCGGGAGTCTGGGGATTGAATTCCACCCAGGCCCTCGTTTCTCCACCTTGCCACATATACAAAGCATGTTAAGTAAGTATTATACTCAAATCCCTCTCACATGAAGCTACTTCAGCAGTTTTATTCTTGTCAATTTCATTACCTTCCAGAATGAGCCACTTCAGGGCTCTGTCACTTTAACAAGTTGGAGCTGACCACGCCCACCCATCCTCCACTCAAGCCTAATTTATGCTTTTCCACCTGCGTCAATACAGAGACGCACAACGTCATTATCCGCCGTTGCGACAGCTCTCCAACAGGCTCGCCAGGACGGACAGAGTTAAGCCCTCTTTCCGAAATGTCCGTCGAACGAGGCGGAGAGTGCAAGCTTGTGATTGGTCAGGATGCCGCTTCCATTGCCCCCTCAAAAAAAGTAAAAAGTGAGCCAAAGATATCAAGCATCAGACACGGAGCAGCTTGAAGAATACCTCATGGAAATATGAACATTTATTCACACATGACAGGAGAAGTAAAGGTGTGCAGCAAGCGTTATCTTCATGGATGGAAATGACAGGAAACATGGTTTTAGAGGTGGCAGCGCGTGAAAAAGTGGAGGAGAATGAGCAACACATTCTCACCCCTAAAGCGTCAAAAACTGACCCTAGGTGAGGGAAAGGTTAAATAGCAAGAGGATAAAGGTCAGAAACTGATGAAATTTGCATTTTACCGGAGCGTCGGTGTCGGTTTCTGACGTGTCGGGACTCTTAACGCGTTGGAAACAAATGCTTGGTCACCCAGCGTCAGTTTTAGCTTTGGCGGTGAGAATGTGTTGGGATGAGGGATACATTTGTCCACATTAAAAAGTTTCTTAAATGCAAAAAGCAAAATATACATACAATAGTAAATACCCTATCATGGACCAGATACATGACAGGATTCCCCAGAACAGCGCTACATCCTCTGTTGTTCTGGCGGGGAGTTACTTTGCAACACTCCTCAGGTGACGAAGAAGTCCAAAGGCAAAACGTCTCAGTCAGTGCGTGTGCTTCTCTCCCGTGTGGAGTTGACAGAGAAATGTCAATTAGGCTTCAGGCTGTTACAAGCTGAAAAGCTCTGAAAACCTGGAGGAGCTTGGAGTATAGCCGCAGCTCCTTCAGCCTATAGGTAAGAGAAGGAGTTCCCATTTGTGACATAAGAATAAGGGACTTTTGAAACAGCTTATTTTAGACAAATTATTCCTTAAAGGGGCATTATGGAAGTTTGACAGCCAAAACATGTATAGAAATAATAAATTTCTTCTTCATACATTCTCCTGCAATGCCCTGGTCCTGGAGAATGAGCCCTGGCATTTTTACTGTGATTGCCTGTTTTTCTGTAAAATCACAGAAAAAGAGAGATGCTCGGGTCGAGTAGGCTGCTTCATGCGCGTTCACGCTCAGGCACAGCCCGTAGCATTTGCTATCAGTAGCTTTAGCAGCAGAGAGAGAGGTAGTGCCAACTCAGCGACTTTGTCGCTGTTCCTAACTCCTAGTGATGAACCTAGCTACATTTCTGAGGACAGCTACTTTCTTCTAGATATTTCCTGCAAATTAGCAACAAAATAGCCCTTTTCGCTCCAAACCGTTCTTTGAACGTTGTTTCAGCTGTTATGTAGCATATAAAAGTTACAGATGCAAAAGACATTACTGGTGCTGTAGCTCACCTAGTTAGATGTCGGACTCTTGTGCAGAAGATCTGGGTTTGATTCTTGATGTGAACGTAATTTATGTAGAGTTTATTTTTTACATTAATGGTATATTTTTTTACAGTAAGATGCCCAAAATTTTATTTGAGACTTGCCGAACGGCATTGAATTCACAGATGAAAAAGATGTGGGTTCAACTTTCATTTTGGAACAATTTTTCAAGCAAGGGAAGGGAATGATCTGTGAAGCTGATGGACTGACCCATCTTAAACCTTTGTCGGCTGTGCTGAACATCGACATATGGTGCTGAAGGGAAAGTAACAGAACCATATTATTTAATTAATTAGCTGCGCGTTCTCCTGTCCTCCAGGCCACACATACACACACACACGGGACTGTCTCAGCTGTATTTTCGTTAAGGAGTGTGCACGTACAGCATGCGCGCCTCGTGCACGAGCCCACTATTGAAGCTGCCGTCGCACTTTTGGCCTGAGGAGGCAATCGCGAGCATAAAAATTCAAAACTCTGTAAAGTCCCTTTAAACTTAAACCTGACAGAAGACAGATGGACTTTTTTAAAATACATTTGGATTGTTTACAGAGACAGTTGAGACCCTGTAGAACCTGAGACATCTGAGACAGTGGGAGGAATTCAAACAGAGTTCATTCTGATAAAACATCAGTGAAAGCAGCAGAGACGTTTTTAAAGGAAAAGTCATGGCCAACTTCCTTCCTCCTCTGAATGCCACATGTCGTTTGGTTTAAAATCCTGTCAAAACGTAGGTTAGTTCCTGCATGGTCATCACAGCAGAACGGGCTCATCGTCAGACCACTCCAGTTTTATTTTCTATGCAGTATAACTGATGACTGAATGGGCAGCTTTAGTTCACACCACCATCTACAGGAAATACGAACAAGCAAGGTGCACTGATTTAGCAGCAGAGGTAACAAGCAGGTATTTATAAAACCACACCTGCAGCACAATGACTCGCAGGGACTCCGATGCGGTGGTGGCACTTCAGCATTTTCCTCAGCTCAGAGCGGAAGCGGTCGTGTAGCCATGCATAGAGGAAAGGGTTGCAACAGGAAGAGCTCATGGCACACAGGTGGCACAGCAGCTGGATGAGTAAGAAATAGCGCTTGTTTATCAGGTTTATGTCAATGTCTCTGAGCACGTTGAACACATGAATAGGAAGCCAACAGACTGCAAAGGCTGACACCAGAAGTGCAACCAGGCGAAAGATCTTCTTCTTACGAGCCTGATGAACTCCTGCCTGGTCTTGTGTCCTGTTGCCAGGGGCGACACATTTCTTCAGTTTGACAGTGATGCAGAGGTAAGAAACAAAGACAGCCGACAATGGGAGGACGTAGGTGACCAACAATGTGCTGTATGCATAAGCTCGTCTTTCCTTCTCCTGACCCAACCAGAACTCTTCACAGATGGTGAAACCTTCCTCTTTGAACTCGACATGGTAGGTGTGAGTCACAGCTGGAGCCACAAGACAGCAAGACAGCAGCCAGATTCCAGTCAGGACATACGCACAGGTCGCTACGGAGGTCCGCTTCTTAAGAGGGTGAACTGTTGCGTAATATCTGTAATGGAGAGAGGAGATGACATCATAAAAAAACTGTATTTATTACACTGCATATATTGTATTCACTGAAAGTGGCATGCACTCGCTTTTTCAAGAAATGTACTGTGCTTTAGCCCATGAGTCGTTTTCTGGCACTCCTGTTCCAGGAATTAGAAGTTAGTCGGAGAAGTGGGAGGCAGAAAATAGCAGGATTGGGGATCTTACTCATTAATATTTATGATATGCAATCATCTCACCTTTGATTGGCTAAAAGCAATACAACTCTACATTTGTTTACTCTGCAACGTTGGTGTTTTATCCCTACAAATACCACGAGTCTGACAGAATTATGCTCTGTTGCAGAGTCGCTAATGGTAACGGTTAGCTTCTACTAGCTGAGACTTTGTTCTTTCCTGGCCGGAAAATCGACACAGCCTTCCGCTGTCACAAGCCAATGTGAGCAGGACCATGACTACTCATTTTCCCTGTGATGTAAAAACTGTCTCTTTCCTTAAACAAGCATTGCCTCGTCTATTTTCTGTCAGCGGCTAGGAAATAGGATAGAACACTGTCTTCACATTCAGCATGCATGATATTTGGCACCTGGAGCTTTTCTTTGCAGTTGCTTATGAGTGTGTGTGTGTGTGTGGGGGGGGGGGTTGGCTGCCCAATAATTGGTGTTGCTCTATCAACTGGCCCCGCCCCTGATTATGTGTTGTTCCACAAATGTGGAATGGCCTACCAAGCACTACCAGGATGGTGCATCCTTGTTGATTCAAAAAACTCCTGAAGACCCATCTTCTAAACTAGGACCCTCCCTGGACCCATCCCCCGCTCTACTGTCCACTTCTTGTTCACCTCCCTTTATGATTCACTATGCTGCCTCACTGCCACTGTCGGTACCAGATCTGCTCCAGTGCCAGATCAGCTTGCGGTCCTGCGCCTGCCGATGACGTCACGCTACTGCAAATCCACTCGGCTTTCACACATAAGTTTTGTCAATAAATTATTATTTCTTACAGCCTAAATGTTTTCATTAAAACTGTAATTTGTTTTTTAAAGTGTTTTTTTAAAGAATGTTAAACTACATAAAACCAACATCAGACTGCCAAAAAGCACAACAGTTCTTATATGTGAACATTTTTAAATGTATTTACATAATTAGCAGCCTTGTCCGTTTGTATAAATGTGGAATTCCTCTTTATATTTTGTAGGTTCTTGTGTAAACAAATTCATTAATTCAACAAAAATGTGTTTCCTTTGACAATATAAACACATTTTCTCCGAAAGTGTTTGTTTTTGGACTACAGGACCTCAACTGCAATATTTTTCGGACCAATCAAAATTTTCTGGGTCAGCGTGCTAACATAACTCTTACAAACGTGGTATCGTAACATTTGTAAGTCCTTTGTTCAGCCAATCATCTAGTGTGACATCATTGGCAGGCGCTGGACCCCGAGCTGATCTGCTATCTGAGCAGATCTGGTACCGACACCACCCAGGATTGACTGATTAGTGTTTGTTGTTAGCCTCAAGGGCAACCTGCTGACTTCATTATCACCTGAAAGTCACTTTTGACAAAAGCGTCTGCTAAATATATAAACATAAACGTTATTGGCAATCATATCCTAATTGTATCCCATTTCAGATGACTGAAACAGGAAGATCGTCTTTCTCAAAAACTAACCGTACCAAGATGGTTTGACATTGATTTAGAGTTTAAATCCTCTGTTGTGTGAAATTGCACATGATGATGTTTTGAAGATTTGAACAAAATCGTTTTAACTTCATCATTTCACAACTTCAGAGGATCTTACTTTGAAACTCCAAATAGCTGACCTTTGATTGCAACAATGCAGAATTTTCCACTTAAGAATAGATTAAAGATTCACTTGTATTCTGTTTTAGATTAATTGATGAATACTAAAAAGCATGATTTAATTATAGCACAAGCGTCCTGCAGCACAAATGTGAAAGATCAAGTCTGCAACTCCGACTGATCGTTAAAGGAGAAAAGTGAAATGTGTTCATTAGGCCTAAAGCATGCATGTACTAAAGGACGGTGTGCTTGTCAATGGGCCAATCGACACGACTGACTCTATGACCAGCAAAATGGGCAAAAATAAAAAAGAAGGAAATTCTTGATGAGACTTTAGGACTGAACAGGTGTGTCAGAGGGGGATATAATATAAAACAGCAGCAGAGGTCAGTTTGAACTGGTCAAAAGAACGTGTGTGTGTATAAGATCAGAGGAAAGTTTAACTCCAGATGAGTTTGATCAGGATGGAGACTGTTTTCCTGCTTTTGTTTTGTATGTGTACAAACCAGAATAATAATATTTTAATTTGTTTTCATAAACTAAACATATGAGCCAATTTGATAACAATTTTATTTCAGAATAATTTCCCAGGTTAATAAAATCCTGACCACTAATAAGGGAGAGCAGTTTTTTCTTCATTCTGGTAAAATGTGCCTGCACTAATCAATATCTCTATTCATTTGCCTCATTTTCTAATGACTGCACAGAGAGAGTCGTAATTACATTTGTTAGTTAAGGATTTCTTGGCTCTAAAATCGCATCCTTGTCATATTTAGAGGAGTGTATTAAAAGTAATGCATTTGTCATAGGGATGAAGACAAAGATGGAAATGAAGAATGAAAGCTAGTTATTCAGAACCTGATCAATGTGCTGAGGTAATCCACCCACCTGTCCACAGCTATAGCGGTGAGTGTGAAGACGGAGACGTACACTGTGACAGGTTGGATGAGGAACACCAGGTAACACATGGAGCGGCCGAAAATCCAACCATGTGGGTTGAAGGCGTAGGCGAGAGTAAAGGGGACACACGTCACACACATGAGCATGTCTGAGAAGGCCAGGTTCCCGATGAAGAAGTTGGTGACGTTATGCATCTTCCGAGTTCTGCAGATGACATAAAGGAGTAGGTAGTTCCCGATGACGCCCACTGCCACCACCAGCACGTAGCAAGGGATGATGAGAGGTTTGAAGGTCTGCAGCAAGGCCACATCTGCAAACTGGGAGCTGCGGTTGGTGGAGTTGCTCTGCACGGCCACCTCATAAACGTGGCCGTTGTCTTGTGGTGGCTGCAGGCTTCCAGATGTGCTACTGTGATTTCCCTCCATTGGAGCAGAGCTGATCCTGTCAGTCATCATAAGAATACATTAATAATGTCTGCAAAGGTCAGACCATCATGCAAAATGTAAACATGTCTATGAAAACTGTTCACGACATTTATAGAGCAAGAAATGCATGCTCTCACAGACGTCAACACATCCACTGAGAGGCAAAATAGCAGTGTCTCATAAACATAATCATCGTTAAAAGGTATTGCATTATAAATACACAAAACAGCAACATGCATTCATCTAAATAGTCTTATGACTTCATTAAAATACTGAAAGCTTTTAAACCAGATAAATTTAGCATCTGCAGAATAATGTGATGCGGCTTGGCTGCGTAGTTTTTGTACATTTTACCAATTTATTAATTTATTTCCTCGCTTTGGCTAGTTATGATCACATCATCTGAGAGTGGAATTAGAATGATGTTGAAGGAATGGAATTAAAATATTACTTTAGAATATTTCAAAATCTTCTTTTCGCCCGAGACATTTTTGTTGGTTTTCAAGCTGATAAAAATTCAGTCACTTTCAGCCAAAACATGTCACCTCATCTCAAAAAAGAGATGTAATATTAGACACTGTTTCTTTGTATATGGGCTACTTAGTCAAAAATAATTACTTCTGTTTAAAACACAATAGCAACAACAATTCAGCACTTTCCACCTTTCCTTTTTCGATCTGACAAATGACAACTGCATTAGACGTGATGCAGCAGGTGTTTGAGGAAGGTACTTATCCTATTAAAGAGCTAGAACAACAACGACTTAAAGCTGCAATGGCAAATTTGGAAAACAAATTAGCTTAAAGCATTTTTTTCATGTCTCTTATCAATGTTCTAACATAGCTATACTGTGGAGATTACATCATTACTCACTCGCGTATTTAGCAACAGAACACCACTGGTGTGAGAGGTTCTCCGCTCAATAAAACCAGAGAAAGGGAAACAGCCGGCTGCGACTACTTCAGCTTTAAGACAAACTCCCAGAGACCCAAAAAGAAAAAACACGATTTGACGTCATGGACAACAAGAGACGTTTGGACCTAGAAAACAGCAACTGGTGTTTGGCGCTATCTCCCCTTGAACTGTGGATGTCTGGTTTAGTCAGAACAGTTCCAGCAGTCTCCTCGACTCGCTCCCATCTTGCAGGAGGTTCAGATCCATTCAGACCAGAACCTCTCGCCACAAGAACAAGTTTCTTCCCCTCTGCAGTTGGACTCATGAAAAACAGTCGTAGAGCTGCCCACTCCAGTCACTTTGTTTCACTCACCTGACCCTAGCGTTGTGTTTGCATCTGAACTGATCAGCACCTACACTGACAAATTATTGCCTCCCTATACTATTATTATTTTATTGGGCTTATTTCTTATTTGTCATTTTTTTCACTCATTGTTCATTTGCACCAAGTATGTTTAAGTTTATGTATTTAGCAGACGCTTTTGTCCAAAGCAACTCACAGGTGATAATCAAGCCAACAGGTTGCCCTTGAGGCTTGAGTCAATCCTAGGTACCGTTGCAATGTCCTAATGTTGTGATTTCTCACATATATGGCAATAAAACCCTTCTGATTCTGATTCTGATTCAGAAACGTCTCAGGGAAGATACCCAAGGGGAGGGGTGAGTGTTCCACGACTGTGTTTGTGTTAAAAACCTAGCTTGTTCTGTAGATTGGCTATTAAACAAGGGTAGGCAGAGGACTTGGGTTTCAATATCAGGACCAAATAAAACTGAGGTGGTGGATACCTTTAAATACCTGGGAGTTCACCTCAACAGTAAACTGAACTGGTCCAACAACACAGATGTTCTATAAGAAGGGCCAGAGCCGCCTCCACCTCCTGAGGAGGCTGAGGTCCTTCGGAGTTAATTTCCATCTGCTAAAATCCTTCTATCACTCTGCTGTTGTTGTTATCCACTCTGCTGTGATCTGTTGGGGTGCATGCAGCTCTGACTGAGACAGGAAGAGACTGAACAAGCTAGTGCACACAGCTAACTTGGTTCTGGGTTGCCCACTGGATACAGTTGAGATGTGTGAGAGGAGGATGGTGGTGAAGATGACCTCCATCTTGGAAAATCCCTCCCACCCATTACACTCCACTCTGGAGACCATGGATAGCTCCTTCAGAGGCAGATTGAGACATCCCAGATATAAAACAGAACACTACTATAGGTCATTCATCCCCTCTGCAGTGAGAGTGTATAACTCCTCAGATTAATTGGTACTGGCATTAATCTGGTACACAATAACACCAATGCAGTACTAAATGTGTGTTCAATACTTTTGCAATATCAGAATTCAATTCTATGTCTGTGTCCCTTACAGTATGCTGCATAGTGCTGAAACCCAAATTTCTTGTTTTTATTTGTATTTTTTGTGGTTGAAAAATAGCCTACTGTATATATATATATATATATATATATATATATATATATATATATATATATATATATATATATATATATATATATATATATATATATATATATAATATAGAAGATATAGAAATTTGAATGGATTTACAGTAGTTTCCCGCCCGTTGCTCCTCCCCCCTTCTGGACGGAGCTGAATGTTAGCTTTAGGTTTACAAACTGACATTAATTGAATGCAGGTGCAGTAAGTTAGGTTGGTGTGCTAAGCTGATTGAAGCATCAGAGTCACCCCGTAGTGCATGCTGGGAACTGAGGAGCTGTTGGCTGACAGCTCCCTCTTGTTTGTCCATGCTCTCGGTTAGCTTAATGATTATTTTGCTGTAGTGAGGAACTTAGAGGAAACCAAACTTACCAAAGTTTATCTACTTTATTTAATAGAACAAGGTCAGAAAGCTTTTTGAAGTTGCTTTAAAAATTACGTATTTCAGCTTTACAGAGGAATAAAAAAAATGCATTTTTTAAAAGCTTTGAGTTTTTTCAGGTTAATCACCTCAGAATCAGAACCTTGCAGCTATAATAAGTTTCTTTTTGCATCATAAAAGTCCCAACTGGGTTTTGCACATCCTCACAGCTGAATATGTAAAAGCAGCACATAAAATCAGGCTCAGATTTTGCTTTTAAACTTTCCTTCCCTCTCATAGCGCTAATCAGTATCATTTGCAAAGTGCAGAGATGGAAGCAGGGGAATTAATTTTTGCAACAGTTGAAGCAAAAACCTGTAATAATTATATTAATGGAAAGTATTGAACAGGGAATTTGACTAGAACAGTCATCTGAGACGTTGTCTGCTAACTGCTGAGGAAAGTTTTAATTAGGTCTCCATGAAAACTTCTTTTGTGTCTAGCAATTTTCATTCTTTTTCAAAACTCTCACTAAGAGGTGAATTTAGATGAGACGTACTATCACATTCATATTCATGCATGAGTAGAAGGTCATCTTTTACAGACGATTGCTACGTGCATCCCGGCTGTGCTGATGTAAAGGACTGACCAAGGGCACTTTATGAGTGGAACGGTTCTGTCGCTCAGGAACGATGTTGTCCACAGTGACTTTGCTATAACTGAGAATGGAACCTTGTTTTTATGAAACAATGGACAAATAACTTTTAAGCACCAGAGGGCAAATGTAAGACTTTCAAATGCTCCCCTAAAACTGCTGCAGAAGATGATTTTTTAAAGATTCAGTGAGGACCACTGATGAGAAGCTGCTTCTCTATTGTTTTGGTATCTTCCAACACGCATGGAGAGAAGGTCAGTTCATCGGGGTTCCATTGAATTCTGCCAGCTGTTCAGCTGTGAACATTCAAAGAGCATCTTAAAGTCCCATCAGTTGTCACACACACTGGTGTGTGGTGAAATTTGTCCTCCGCATTTGACTCATCCCCGTAGGGAGCGGTGAGCTGCACACCATTTGGTGGTTTAACCCCTCAATCCAACCACTTAAAGCTGTGCGTCAAGCAATGAGTCTCTTTTTTAAGTCTTTGGTATGACCCGACTGGGATTTGAACCCCGATCTTCCACTGCCATGGCAGACACTCGCACCGCTAGGCCACTGTGCTGGTTAACTGGCTTCAGCTACAGTTGTTTTCATTTCTAAATGCCTTCAGCTTCTGCATTTGCAGAAAAGTCATCATGCAGCAGCTTGTCTAGAACTTCTGGATGCTGCAGAAATTGTGCAGAAAGAGAGAGGAAGACCTCCGTAATGCTGAATGACCTCCTGATAAATTGTCACTATGATCACTCAACGTCATGACATCAGCACATTTTCAGAGCTTAATTCAGAACGTGTTTCACTCTACAGAAAAAATATCTTCCTCATAGACATTTCCCTTCATTATTTCACTGCAACTTTTAAGGGTTATGTCAGAATACCGATTTTACAGAAACATATTTTTAAAAGCACCTTCAGCTTTGAAGTTCTACATGACTTTATGTTTTTCCTCTAATGCACAAATTGTTTTTATACTAATGTCATAAAATAGTTCATAAAATTGAAAAATTTAGATTAAAATGCAAAAGACCTGGATGATAAGTTCCACTGCAACATAAAATCTGTAAAAACAATTTCTTCTTTTGTTTTTCTTTTCATTAAAATCACGTAACTCACCTATGCTGATGTTTTCCAGAGCAGGGTTGAGTTGTGTGTGTGAGTAGCAGACCACGACACTGACTCTGCTTCTTCCCAGTGAGTGAGCAGAACCTGCTGCCGTTTTAGTCAGAGAGGAAGAAAGGGGGAGACGCGCAGCAGCGAGTGGAGGGAGAGGGATGTCTGAGATGTCTGGTGGAAATGACAAGCAGCCAATAAGACGTCAGAAACACACAGAAAGATTAATGTCTGGGTTGGTCCTGGTGGGGACGTTTGATGTGGGACTGATTAGCTGGTGGGGAGGATGGTGAGCAGCAGGATTACAGAAATGTGCAGGACGCTTTCTAATAACAGCGCCATTTTCAGGAAAGTTAGGAAATTGCTGGGTGTTTATTCTGAGGTGAAAGCACAAGAATTAACAAAAATCAATAAAAGAAGAAAAGAAAAAATTATTCAGTATTTTTAAGTGATAGAAAAAAGCCCTACTGTGATTTAGGAAGACTATCAACAACGAAAATATAACAAAAAACACACTATTTCTACACAATGTTTAGCAAAATACATTGTGATAAAATTCATTTAAAAAATGTTTGTTTGGTAGAATTTATGTACGCATTTTTAAAAATGTTCTGCTTCAGTTATTTGAACATTTTATTATGTTTTTTTCTTCAAATGATTCAGTTTTCTGAACATTTTCATGACATCTTTTATTATTATTTTAAAATTATGTAATTTTTAGTCATGTTTGTGTTCTTTTCATTTATCATGAACAATTGTCAGTGACATAAGTTATATTTAAATAAATAATAATAAAAATTTAATGGTGTCTCATGTTTATCTTTAATGTTTCAGTAATTCCTCGATTGACTAGCTCTCTTAGCTCAGTAAACGTTTATAACATACACATTTACCACCTCTTTTAAACAACTTTTTACTTTAATGGTTCGGTTATTCTGAGTCACACTGACAGCCTTTCTCTGTTATTACTTATCTTGTTAAGGAAGAGCTTGTCAAAAGTAGCTGTTTAGAACATCATGACCTGAACTCCTGCTGAGATCTTTGGAGTAATTTCTTTGTCAACAGAACGTTCCTCAGTAAACGGCTTTAAAGTGCAAAGTGATTGTCGTTTGTGCATTCTCTAAGTTCCAAAATGAAAGACAAGTAGATATGAAAGTGTTCAGGGTAAACGGCTACAGAGTGACATTTTCAGGGAAGATGAACGGTAGATGATGTAAAACATGAAGAATCAGAGCATCAGCTATTCCTCTCGCCCTTTTCCTGCTTAGTGCTAGTCAGAAATGTTTAGACAACACCCAAAAAGAGCTGGAAATCAAAAAGGAACGGTTGCTTTGCATTTATAAAAACCAACAGAATCAGAAAATCGGAAGATTTTTATTTGTGCTTGCTGCTTGTAGTAGCATGACTTCGAAAATACAGCGATTGAAACGATTGAGACGCAAGCAATTGAAAAGGATTCAGTACAGTACGTTATAATAGCAGAGCAACCTGCTGGTATTATTACTATTTAGGGGTTTGCAGGAAACAGAGTCAGCAGGAAACCAGCACAGAAAGTAAATGCATCATTTATTTTTTCCCTCAGGAGTCTGGATGAGATCCATCCTGTGACGTTATTGCAGGTTCATCATGATTACGGTGGTTTCATCTAGAAAATAAAAGCTGCTGCAGAGATCATCAAAGTGTTTTGCATGAGTGAGAGTCCTTAAATCAAACTGAAATTGCTCATAAAATTGAGCACAAATATATCCAAATGGGAGTTGGGGATGGGAACGTTTGGCAGGAATGGCAAGAATAAGCAAGCGTGTCTCAAACATGTTTATGAAAATAGGAAATGTGGAACTTTATAAGATATTGTTTGAATTCTGGTCTCTTCTACCAGCATCTCACTATCCACAGACTCTGCAGGAAGCATTTTGATGTTGTTTATAGCCTTTATTTGGCTGCTTGTCCACAAATATATAGTTATATAATCAGTGATTTATCATCATTTTGATCTCAGCCTCAAAAGCAGCAGAATGAAAAGAATGAGGTCATGTCCTGCACCGAAGAGCAGCCAGTAACAGAGTTAGAGACAAGCATTTGCTCAGGTAAGAAGGAAAGAAGAGGCTACATCTAATCAACAATAACTATATGTAATTAAAGGCCGTCACACACCAGAGTTTTGAACTGAGATCGTTTTATCATGAAGAATGATTGCATCTGATTTCATGTGGTAGGTCCTGCATCCAGCCTCCACTAGGCTGCAGTAGAAGTTTCTCGCCCTCTGGTGTAAACTCTTATTGACTGATTTAGATCTCACCCTGCTGCAGTATTTTCAGATCTTTATTTCCCACTTTGTTTAGCTATAATTCAGCAGAATTGCATGGTGGTGCTGCAGGTAGCAACTTTGCCTAGGAGCAAGGTTGCAGGTTGAAGAGCCGTTCTGCACAGAGTTTGCATGTTCTCCCTATGCATGCATGGATGTTCCCCGGAATCTCCAGTTTCCTCACACAAACCAAAAATGTGCGTGTTGTAATGTCCAGAAATGGTCAGTTCTCACCTACACATTGACCTATACACCACCAGGTCTTCTACAGACATGAATCTGCCTCTGTGCGTCTCTTAATCTTCCAAGTTGCAGGAAAAGATTCGACACTGTGTGCTTACACTCAGATTGTCAACATCATGTTCCCTTCTCAAGGTCCTTCTGTGCCAAGCCTGTCTGCTTATCTAGGCCGTCCTGCGCAGAAGA